AGCGCTTGGCGAAATCCGGATATCTCTCCGGATACCGACGACGCCGTTCGTAAGCTTGATGGTGCGCCATCTCGCCAAGTGGGATGCGCCTGCATTTCCGTGGTCGACAGTGGCGCGAAAGGTGCTGATTGCGCTGTCTCCTACGTCGCAAGCATTCCGTCCATGCCAGGAAGCTGCAGTGAACTTGGCGCTAAGCGGCTTCAGTCTGTTTCTACAGCTGCCCACGGGTGCAGGGAAAACTGTATGCTTCCAGCTCCCGTCGCTTCTCCAGCAGCGCGACCTGAACAAAGTCACGCTTGTCGTGAGTCCGCTGCGATCCCTCCTCACCGACCAGAAACAGCGCCTCACGCGTCTTGGGCTCGCGCATCGCGCTGTCTTCCTCTCTCCTGGCACCGTACCCACCCTCGACGAACCCTTGTCGAACGACGTTGCCCTATTGTATGCCACACCAGAGCTTCTTCTTCAAAACAGCAAAGCTGCAAGACTTCTCACCGATCTCGCGGCCGCAGATCGCCTCGCGCGCGTTGTTCTGGACGAAGCGCACTGCGTCCTCGAATGGGGCAACTCGTTTCGTCCAACGTACCTCGAGTTTGCCAGACACTGCCGCCACCGCCTTCCGCACCTTCCAGTGACGTTTGTGACAGCGACGGCATCACCTGAGATTGTGTCCAGCACTGCCAATCTGTTTGGACTCGATCTCGCGCCGCTCCCTGACCCCCATATCCCCTCATCACAAGCAAATGCGTCCACCCTCGTCGTCCTCCAACACATGCTCGACCGGACAAACCTGCGCCTGCAAGTGCTCCCCAAGACCAAAGCTGTCTTAGCTCACATGGCATCGCTTCTCAAACGCGGAGAACCTGCCATCGTGTACGTACTGTCCCAGAAAGACGCCGAGTCCGTCGCCACGGGCCTCATGGCATTTGGCCTCCAAGCCCAGCCGTACCACGCAGGTAGGCTACGAATCCCTTTCAAGTGCTTGACCCCGCGATTCCACACGATAGGCATGTCCAACCCTGCTCGAAAGCGCGCCCAGCAGCTGTGGATGTCCGGAAAGGTATCAATTATCTGCGCCACTGTTGCATTTGGGGTATGCGCCGCTGTCTCGTGCCCAGTTGATTCGAATTCGTGCAGATGGGAATCGATCGCGCCGACGTCCGCCACGTCATCCATCACTCGCTCCCCATGTCTCTGTCGTCGTACATGCAACAAATTGTACGTGGAGGAATTGAGTGATCTTTTGCTCACCGTCGAGGCGTCGTGGTGGTAGGGCCGAGCGGGTAGCGTACTCCACCTGCCCACCGCGCGATGGAAGGTGATGCCTCCATGTAGGACGGGATGGGCTGCCGGCAACATGCACGCTATTCTACACAAGCGGCGATCGAGGCCGTGCGGCGTTCGTAATGAGCGGCGGGGACGGATTCCTCGACGCGTCGGCGTCACACGGCATGCGGGATGTCGTGGAAATGGCAACGTCCATGGACTGCCGCCGACGCATCCTTCACTCGCATTTTGGCAACAACATGGCGACTTGGGACGATGGCGAGTGCTGCCGGAACTGCAACTGCGGCGAGCCCATGCAAAAAGACGACGCTGAAGCTACGACGGCTGAACAGCGACCGACCACCAACTATTCGTTTCCGTCCAAGAATCTCGATGTCGAATGGCTGTATCAGAGATTGCTTCAGGACGGACGTAAAGCCACCAGTCGAGGTGTAAGAAAGGCCAACGTTCTGTCACGTAAATCCATCGAGGTGCGTCGCGTGGTGCTATTTGATACGACATAGTGTGAGCGTGAGTAGAGGATCCTGGAGTCGCCGCCTTCGTCAGTGGAAGAGCTGGCGGCCATGCGCGGCGTAGGGCCTGAACGGGCGGAAGCTTCATATGCTGTCGTGATGGCACATATCAAGGCCAAGCGACGGCGATAGACTACAAGGCGTTCAATCGAAGGAATGGCCGACGAAACATTTCGCACCGGTTGCCCGAGCAACACATTAGTGATACGATGAACCGTGAATACATCCCAACATCGCACGAGATCACATGAATCGGGCACATGCCCTAGAGATGGCCTGCGGAGGACAATCGTGCGGGCTGAGCGATGATCTGCACCGAGTGCGCGGACCGGCCGCGCGATTCTTCTTTTTTGGTCGATTGTGGAAGTTGCAAGTTCCAACCGCACTTAGTCGTACATTCATACTTAAGAGAACTTTGGTAGCACACCACATATTTCGATCCCAGCATGTCGTTGAGCTTGGACAAGTCGGCAGATGCAACGTTCCTCCGCTTCGCGGCGCGATTTTGCGGAGTCAAGACCAGCTCGGCCGCACACGGAGAGATCCGTTTGAAGGTGGGCAACGTCTTGCTCCATCAACCCAACACCATTGTGCGTTACTTTGCCCGCGCCGCGGACCGCGAACTCGAGCTAATTGGCCAGAACGCGTTGGAGCAAGCCGAGATTGCGCATTACATGGACGTGGCGACGACACTGCGAAGTTCGGACCCCGTCAACCCTGTCATGCACTGGGAAGCGTTGGACAAGGCACTGGTATCAAAGGTTTATCTTGTGGGGAACCGCCCAACTCTCGCGGACGCGTCCATGTTCTGGAGTCTCTATGGCGCGTTTCACCAAGCGAAGGCAAGCCTCGCACCGTTCGTGAACCTCCGTCGTTGGTTCAACCAGATCCAGCACACCGTTGGCGTCTGTGGGTTCCCCGACGTCGATGTCGTCGCGATCCCCGTGCCTACGCACGTGCTGCTCGTGTAATTCGATTGTTCCTCCACTCTGTTTCTTGTACGTTTTACAACCTGCAGCAATCCTCGTCATCCTCGTCGTCGTCGGTGACCCTTGCGAGAGCTTGCCGCAGCTGAGCGGCGAGAGTTACGTGCACCTCCTCCTTGTACCGGATTGCGTACACGCGCATGTGGCGGAGAATCTGGCGCCGCCGTTCCCATGGAATTCGGCACACACACACGGCGAAGATGGATCCATTGGCAGCAAAAACGCGGCGGGCGGCCGCGCTGCACCCTTCTGGAGGGCTCCACATGACTTGGTGGGTGGTGTCGTTGTAAAAGCAGGACGCGTCATCTCCGTCCGGCGGGAGTTCTTTCCATGGCGGTGGCAGCGGTGGAACCAAATTCGGTCGCAGGAATGCACGGCACCGAGGGCACAGCATGTGACTGAACTTTTCCTCGTCGGAGAAGAGGAAGTGGAGGGGGTTGGCGACGGGCTCGCTTGACCACACGCGATTCATGCACGTGGACGCCGGCCGCACCGCTTGTATCGCATTCGGGAAAATTGGTTGAAATGAGGAATGCGGAAGTGATCTATTTGGCTATTTTTAGAATTCCTCCTCTACACGAATTCAGCGATTCCTGCCGCCATCAGACAATGGTGCTGCAGTTCGCGCGAGCGATGGGGCTTCCCTGCTCATCGTCGGCCAAGCCGACGCCAGCACATGTCATCCACGTCAAGTCCAAGGGGGCTGCCGATCTCACGGCTCTGCCAAGCATCCCTCCACCCGTCTCCACTACCCCTCCCAACCAAACCACGTCTGGCGCGCCATCGCCCCAGTCGCTCGCAAATGCAGCTCCAACGCCTCCTCATCCGGTGTCTTCCTGCAAGCAGGGCAGGACCCCATCGACGGAACCACAGGCCACCAAGAGTCCTGGCACGACAACACTCACGCCCTTTTGGGAAGCAACCTCACCGCAACACACGAATTCGCCGAAGCAAGCACTGCCGTCGCCCCAGCGACGACTCGTCACAAAGGTCGTTCATGCCGACGACGCGGCAACCCCGAACCCAGCCAAGTTTACTTTCTTTTAATGCACCATGTCGTCCATGCCGTGAGGTTGTCAAGTTACCAGGCTTGTCGCACTTCACTCTGAATAAGTCGCCACTTCCACGCAGCTTTGGCATCGTGTCATGATGGACCAGATCTTACTTGGATGTGTATTGGATATACAATGCGTCGGCCAGACGGAATGCCCCCCCCTGGCCATCAAGAAGGACGCCACATCGACGTGTCCATGGTAGTAGAATGGCGTGGGCTCGTCCTCGTCCGTGGCGTCGATGAGGACGTCAAGCTGGATGAGCATCTCGACGACCTTTAGCTCGTCCCGTTTGGCCGCAATGTACACCGACATCTTGGCGTTCTACCGACACGATGAAGTCGACTCCCGGGCCCTGGTGATGGGCATCGCGTAAGCTACTGGATTGACAAGGTCCAACTGACCCAAGTGAACAGCGACCACCTGCACAGCCGCGCCAGTCTATGCGTGCAGTTGAGCGTCATGTAGCCGAACGCTTCGTCACGTCGACGAGTTACTTGGTCGGTGGCATCCACTTTGGCCCGTGCTCCAGAAAATGTTTGACCGCATGCAAAAGCCCCGCCATGGGCGCCAGCACCAGCGTCGCGCAGTCAGTCTATCCTCAGAAATGCCTAGAAAGCAGAAGCGGCACGAACACTGTCGATGCGGTCGTTAGAGACGCCGTCTTGGAGGCACATCTGGAGCACACAGTCGTCACAGATCCTGGCAGGTTCCTGCAAGGCGACTGCCTAATGCATCCAAACGATGACCTCGACCGTCGTGCGGCCCTGCTCACTTTGGCATCGCCGTCATCATGGCTCGCGGTTGAGTCCGACCGCATTTGAAATGTTTACGGGACCAGTTCGGTTGAACGAAGCACGGATGACACCCAACACACCCGCAGGGAAAGCGGCTTGTACGAGGCTGGCACGTCAATCGTGATGCCGACCATTCCAGCCTGGGCCAATGCGGCCGAAGGATGCAGCACGTTGCACCGGTTGCAAAAGCAATAGTACCAGCCCACGCCGCCTGCAGCTTGGCCATGTGTTGGCGTATTTCTTAACAAGCACGAGCGCTTGCTGCTGGTCGATGGACGGGGAACTGATAGAATCATCAGTCGTCAAGGGAGATGGTACCTTGTGGCAAGATCCAGCCGTACAACTCATTCTCGAGCGTGATTTTGGCGTATCCCCATCCCGCCTTCGACTACCGCGAACATCTTGTCGACCAGATGCATATCGTGCGAAGAATTTGTGCCGATGCTTGATCCGTTTGAGGATGGCAGTTTGCGTCATGTCGTACTATTCCTCCAATCGCTTCGTCGACAGCGTGGGCGTCGAACTGCCGAGGTCATCCGTGGGCGCTGTGTTCTCCACCACGGTCGAGATTGCGAGGCGCTGCGAACCGGTGAATCAAATCCCATAGCTCTTCTTACCCGCAGTTGGCGCCGTCGCTGCCGACCTTCGTCCATGTCAACATGCAGCATCCGTCTGCTCCCTGCGTTCACGAATTTTATTCAGATTATAATTATTCTGGTGAAGGCTGTTTCTACATATATTGCATATATTGATATTCGCTCTGTCGTGGTGGATATTTCGGTGGCGTGGACATTCTAAGTATGTTTTAAACATATTTAAAATGCATTATTAATATTTAAAAATAAATGGGAGAGTTTGAAATGCCAAAAAATACTTTTCTTGGGCAATACATTTGAAGAGGAACCGTTTTGAATTTCCATTTAGGTACAACCGATGGATGCCACAATGCATTGTGATTCAAGTGCCGACGGGGAAGAGCTCGTGCATATAACGGATGAGATCCTGGGCAGTCCACGCGCCGCGCCGGTCAAGCGAAAAGGCGGCGGGCCCCGTCTGACGGACGCGCAGCGTATGGAGATCCTCCACGCGATCGAGACTGCAGTAGAAGCGCAGGTAGACAACAAGAACTTACTCAAACCCAAGATCCCGACCAAGCGCCTCGCCGACGAATACGGCGTCACCCCTGCTGCGATCCGCAAACTCGTCAAGCAAAAAGACAAGTTCTTGTCGCGCTTTGCGACTGGTCGAGAGGATGTTCGGCAAACCCGTCGACGGGGTGGCGACGGTGCCAAAGTCGAATTTGAACGGGAGTTGTATCGGTGGGTGTGCGGACTCCGCGCGCGCAACGTGACAATCGTTCCATCTTACATCCAGCAGCGCGCCCTCTTGATTGCGAAGAAGTACCCGAACATGGACAAATTTCAAGCGTCATGGGGATGGTACTATCGCTTCTGCAATCGATACAACGTCACTGGCACGTCGGCTGCCGCGGCATCTACAGATCCACGACATCTCACGAATCTGGACGACCCGTCGGATAGTTCTCTACTCTCCCCCATCGATATGGTGCGTCCGACTGCATCCATGGATTGCCTCAGTCTCCACTGTCGCAGCCGCTTCTCGTCGAGTCGTCGTCAGTGACGGTATCTCCCCCGGTTTCCATGCTTGCCAAGGCATCCCCCGTGCCTCTTCCCGCGAAACCTCGCAAGAAGCAAGACTTTTACGATGTGCGTGTCCATCCGATCCATCCTCCTCATGGTGTGCACATAGGAAAAACTCTACCTGGAAGCAGCAAAGTTGGGTGATACAAATGCTATTCAAGCATGCTTGCTCAAGGGGACGTACGTAGACTCTGTGGATGAAGTAAGCTGCAACTCCCTGTCGTGAACAGCGCGCACGCCTGACGCGACGATTAGACTGGGTGCACGGCCTTGGTGCTGGCGACCAAAGGCGGCCACTTCAATGTGATCAAGTTTTTGGTTGAGCATGGCGCCAAGCCCGACGCGACCGACGAGGTGAAGCACGTGCGCGGCTGCAAAAGAATTAATGGATGGCTGTCGCAGACCGGGTCCACCGTGCTGGTGCTGGCTATCAAGCACGGGTTCTTCAACGCTGTCAAGGTGTGCCTGGAAGCGTCTGCCCGGGTGGATGCCACCGACCCAGTACGATGATGCCACACTGAACATGTGGGTGATTAAAACTGCATAGAGCCTCAAGACCCCGCTGATCTTGGCCGCCGAGCGCGGCGATTTGAAAGCAGTCAAGCTCCTCGTCAAGTTTGGAGCCAACATCGAAGCCACCGACGAGGTAACGAACGTTCTGCGTGTGAATACGTCTGGAGCAATCCTGTGGCAGGACGACGGGACTGCATTGATGGCAGCACTCAAGCACGGTCAACGGGACGTGGTCGAGTTCTTGGTCAAGAAGGGCGCGAACAAGGAGGCCCGCCATATCGTAAGCAGTCACAGTGACAAGTCGTGGAAACGATGCGTGTGTGTTGCGTAGGACGGCGCCACGCCCATGGACCTCGCCCATTCCCTCGGACATGCCGATCTCTTGACGTTCAATGTATAGCGAGCAGGTCAGCGCTGCAGTGTTATTTAACATGAGTCGACTCTGTTTCGTCTGAATGATCGATACCTCTCGGGGGACGACGATGGGCACACTGCGGTTGCAATGGCAACCGAACGCGCGCGGCCGATGGGAGCTGCCCACGAGCAAGTCATTAGCTGGACCTCATGCTGAGAGAGTCGTGGCACATCCATGACGACGGCGTGCCATCGTCATGCCAGAGTTTTGTGGAAAATTTCGAATATTCCCAAATTTCACAAAATGACGACATAGTAGTTCTATACAATCAGCTGTTGAATCAACTTGGTAGAAGCCCAAACGAATATTCCTGCGGCACATCATTGACAGCGCGAGGTCGTGAGCCCTTTGCCTTGGCTTGTTGGACATCCATCGCGGTCTGGCGCGTGAAGTTGTAGCGATGCGAGTGTTCGTGAGGCTGGACAGACAGAATTATCCTCGCTAGCATATTTTCTTGATTTTTGTCCAAAATTTGCATTTTCTTCGAAAAATGCGACATTCCGAACTCGGGTACTCATTGGCTGTCCTGGGAACAGCGCCAGCAGTCACTCGAGCGCATCATCACCCATCGATCGCCATGACGCTGTCCGTCGCCACCGCTCGCGCGCAACTCAAGAAGAATGTCAAGTCGTCCTCAACCACACCGGTGGTATGTATCTGCGGCGGCGGAAACGGCGCGCATGTTGCTGCGGGGTATCTCGCCTCGAAAGGCATTCGAGTGCACGTGTTGACGCGCAAGCCAGAGTTGTGGGCCGAAGAAATCAGCATTTCGACCAAGGGTAGTAGCTGGGAAGACAAGGGCGACATTGTCGGTCGGCTCACGATGGTTACGTCGAGTGCCAAGAACGCGATCCCAACCGCCGACATCATTTTTGTCGCGGCCCCTGCCAACGCGCATCCTGCTATCCTGGAGAAGATTGCTCCTTTCCTAAAGCCCGGCTGCATTCTCGGGGCTCTGTTTGCGCAAGGTGGGTTCGACTGGGCGGCCAAGCGCGCGTTGGGACCTGTCGCGCTGGACAGCCTTCACCTTCTCTTTGGCCTTCAGAACATCCCATGGATCTGCAAGGCGACATCGTACGGCAAGCAAGCGAAGATAATCGGGCCGAAAAAGTGCCTGTATGTGGCAGCGTACCCTGTTGAGCGCAAGGACGTGGCTGCCCGTGTGATGGAGGATCTCTTCGACATCCCGTGCGCCACCGTGGCGAACTTCCTCAACTTGACCTTGACGCCTTCCAACCAGATCATCCACCCTGCGCGATACTACGCCATCTTCCGCGACTGGGACGGCAAGAAGACGTACACCCACGCCGAGCTGGCGGCGCGCCGTGGCCTCACCTTGTGTATATCGTTCGCCGACGCCCCATCACGTGCCTAACCTGACTCTAGACGCCGACTTTGACGAGTTTTCCGCCGAGCAGCTCTCCATGCTCGACAATGAACTGCAACAAGTCAAGCTCGCGTTGTTGCAGGTACACTGCTATTTTTGACTATATCGCTTTGGATATACGTGGAGAGTGTGATCTGCGTTTCATTATGTCTCTCACGACATGTGCATCGCGGGGAAGATCCCGCTTACTATATATGATGAACGACATATATGTAGCGGTATCCTGCGTTGGATTTGTCCGACGTGTTGCCGATGGACGCGCGCGTGGTCAAGCAGTACGGCGACGACGTGTCCGATCGCACGTCGCTCAGGGCGATCTTTGCGTCCAATTTGGGCTACGCTGGGTGTAATACTCCGCTCAAGGAAGTGACCCCGGGCCAGTTCCATCCCGCCGTCGACAGCCGGTACGTGGACCGCCGCAGTCGATGTGATGATCGTTGTCGCGGCAGGCTGTTTTGGGAGGACATTCCGTACGGGTTGTGCATTTTGAAGAACATGGCGGAGATGCTGGGCAACTTTCCGACGCCCCGCATTGACTTTATGATTCGATGGCACCAGCAATTCATGCAAGTGCAGTTCTTGAACGACGACAACCAGCTCAACCCGCGCGAGTTGTGGCGCACGGGCGCCCCCAACAAGTTTGTTCATGATGCAATGAAAACCACCGTGCTTACGTTTGCGCTAGGTATGGCATCCACGACATTGCAGACCTCGTCGACACGTCGCTCCCGCGAGAGATGCATGGATATCGACACCCGCGCTCCCGCATGTAGACAAGTCGCTCGCTCATTTTTGTCATGCATCAAAGTCGCTTGGATTCAAGAACGAGTCGTCGTCATCTACCTACGACGATGTAAACTTGACCACTTGACTTCGCGCATATGCAATCGCATCATCAAGTTGTGACAATTGGGTGGGGGTGCCTGTTCCTTCTAGCTGCAACAGTGCCCGTTCGGTGCAGAGGCGCTGAGCTTCCAAGCTCCACTGCGCTTTCTTCGTGAACGACAGCGCAGGGGACTCTGGGAAGCTGCCAGGAGTGGTGTACGTGTCGTGGAGGACGGCCCTGTCGCCGGTGCCGCTGACGGTCGACGTCATCTTGAGCGAGTTCCGAAAGTTGTCGAAGTCTTCGAGGAACGATGATCGATTGAGCGCGGAGCTTGTGATGGAGCTGTCTTCAACGAACGCGCCAGGAGGATCGGCTGGAGTATCGTCCATGACGCCTTTGGTCGAGGGTGTAGACCTGGCTGGCTCTTGCGTTGAACGATTGTCGTCGTCGTCGTCATCGTGACAATCGTTGAAGGATATGGCGCGGCCGACAGTCGGCGTGGTGTCGAGGAAGTGCACGGAGCGCTTGCTATCGTCTGTCTGGGGCGTCGCGCTGTCCGGACCTGCCAAAGGTGACGTGAACGCAAGCGATGACGACACTGCGTGGTTGTCGTTGGAGGACGAATGGAAAGTCGTGGGCCGAGACGTGGATGATCGGCCGTTCAGCGACGAGAAGGAGGCGTCATGCATACTAGGAAGGGTACCCTTATTGCCGAGGAAGGTCGTGTACGAGGGACTGGGCAGCACATCGACGTCCCCGTCCGAGTCTGCGTCATCGTCTTCAGGTTCCCGATGACGTCTTCGCCTCGATGTTGCATGTGGCGGAGTAGAGAAGAGCAGATTCTCTCGCGTTTGCACGGACTGGTTGAGTGACTGCATCGTTTCGGCAAACTTGAGCTGAACGTGCATCACTTCAGTGAGCAGCGGGCTCAAGGAGTTCGTGTGTGTGGCAGATGGGAACCCCTGCCCAGCATTCGAATTGATTGGACCTGTCGACGCGGACAAACCCTGCGATTGCTGGTGCTGTAGCTGTCGCAGCAACTTCTCGAGAATACCCTGGAGGTGTCGGATCTGCTGTCTCGTATACTGTTCGACGAGGTTGCGCGTCTCGATTTCCCACGCGAGGCGCTTTTCGAGTTCGTAGTTGTGTTCCATGGCCATCTGCAGCTTTAGGTCCCACAATCTCGAGGGGTGTGCCTTCAAGTTCGCGCTGTCGTCATACGTACGATTTGGTCGCTTCCGCGTCGCGAGCCGTTCCTTGGCTTCACGCAGTTGTGCCTTGAGCGCGTCCAGCTCGGTCATGTGCGGCGGGAAGTGTCAAAATCCGGATAAAAATTCAAATCTCCACACGGTTCATAGCATTCCGGATAGACCTGTCAAACTTGATGCAAGCTCCAACCTGCAGCCGCGACTGACTGCCGCAACATACAAATGCCAAGATATTTTGGACCCCGCAGTACTCAGGTGGTGTCAGCTCTCTGCCACAGCTAATGTAAAAAATTGCGCCTACAGTATACAAACTTCAAGTAAAACGTCACCAGACCGGTGGTCCACGTGAGAAGGATTCAAAATTCAAACGCGTCAAAGTCGAATCGGATGACGAAGGACCACGCCAAGCCCGCTGCGCCGGCCGGCCGCAAGCCCCGCCAAGTCAAGCCGAAGGGCACCGTTGAAGCCAAGAAGCCCGTCACTGAACAGCCTGCTCCCGAGCCCGCAGTTGTTGTCGTCGACGATGCTGACATGGACGACGGTGCGCAACATACCACTGTGACCGCCAGCACCCCTACCAAGCCCGTCGAGACTGCTCCGACAGCACCAGACTTTCTCTCCCCAGTACGACACTTTGTGCGATGCAAGTCCAAACGATGGATTGTGTTTGCTTCCAGGTGAGCAAGTTAGAGCTGGCGCGTCAAATTGCTGCCAAGGAACAAGCTGAACGGATAGCCCTTGCGTCCGCCCGCCGCGTTGAAGAAGCTCGACGCAAGAGCCTCAAGCGAAAAGACGTCGAAGCGTCCGCGGACTCGCCAGCCATGCCGGAAAAAGTCGCCAAGACGTTCCATTCCACGGAAGAAGATGTCGAAGTTCTCGAGTCGACCACGGTCGTCCATTCCACGACCACGACGTTGACTCATCGCCGACCGCTCAAGCAAATTGAACAAAACGCCGGCGAAAGCGCGACGGCGTACGCGCTCCGCGCCGCCAAGATCCGCAAGGAAGAGCGCAGCCACACAACCGACGACATGGACAACCACACGAACGCGCAGCCTGTCGTCAAAGTCGCACCGACCGCCTACGAACTCAAGGTCCACGGTGCCGCTGCCTCCAATATCTACACTACGGATTCCAAGGAAGGCGAAGTCGAATTTGTCAACAGCGTCGTCAAGGATTCTGCTACCCGCGGCACTGCCAAGTTGGAGGAAGCAGTTCCCGTCGATGCGACTCAAGTGGACACCGCGACGTCCAACTCGCGCTTCTACGTCCATTTGGCTGTCTTGCTTGTTGTGGTCTTTACCGTGTTGCTCAGCCTCACCGAGTTGTACGTGAGCCAGCTGCCGTTTTGCAGCACGCCTGCCACTTCCGGTACATGCAGTCGCCACGCATTTCGTTCTCATGCGTTCATCTGTAGACATGAACTGCCGAGTGTGCCCTGACCACGGCGTGTGTGTGGACGGTGTGCTTGACTCGTGTGATAGCGAGTTGTACGTGGCGGTCGACAACTCGTGCCAGCTCTCGGCCGACGTGAAGCGCGACTCGACCCAAATGGCCGCCGCCATCTCGGCCCACTTGACCCAAGTCGCCACTGCCGCCTACTGCCGAGACTCGTTCGTACACCGTGTAATGCAAGTGGACTGGTCGCTGCCCATCCAGCCCGTGGATGCGCCGGCGGAAGCGATTGCGGTCGATTTGGTCGCCCTGGAAGGTCAATTCCGTGCCCAACCGCTGTGGTATCGACGATAAACCTCGAGCACGTCTTGCGCCAACACCGAGGGGACTCGTAGGCGCGTCGTAGGCCCACGCACGTACAAGATTTCGTTCGACAAGGCGGTGAAGAAGCTGAACTTGACTGCTCCGTTGGCCGTGTCTGTCGCGCACGCGTCTCCGCTTTGCCAAGTTCAGACGGCGGCAATCGAGTACTTCACGGTACATGACGACTTGTGACCGATGGCTGACAACGCCTGGCTTAGATTTGGGTCTCAGCTGTTCTCGTGGTGTTTGGGTTTTACACCATGTACTCGGACTCGAAGCAGTCGGAAGCGGATGCTGCGTTGGTAAGGAGGACGTTGCATCGAAAAAAAAACGACAGCGATGCGATGTATTCACGTTGTTGTCGAGGCAGCTCCACGAGATGCTCGTGGTCGTCCAAGATGAACTGATTGTGCACTCCCAAGACAAGGGCTACCCCGCGTCGTTTCTAAAGAACCACGTGGTGGATGTCCTCAAGCTGTCCAAGGCGGACGTCCACCGCGTGGAGACTGTCCTGTGGGCCAAACTCGAAAAGGTCGTCGACGCCGATGACCGCATTCGCGTCACATCGGAAGATGGCAATGCGTTGTGGTACGAACGAAAGGATGTGCGAAGGTCAGAGCTCACGACGTCATGGTAGGCAATGGGCGCCAGCTTCGACCAGCGAGGGACCGTCGACTACCGAGCCCATTGTCGGGTCGGCACCTGTTCAAGTAGCGTAGGAAAAGTTTGAATTGCATGTAATATAGGGTAGAGGGTAGGGAGCAGGTCAGCGTGCCACGTCATGGTGGCGTTGTCGTAGATTATAAAAAACGTGGTGCAGACATTTTCAACGGTTCTAGTACATTATTGAGGATATTAGAATTAGACCGAAAAACTCGGTTTGGTTTTAAATACCTTGCGCTATGTCGACTCAATTCGCTGCGCTGTCAAAGTGATGGCTCTCGTGTCAAAGTGCAAAGATTGTCGCCCGTGGAGAGCGTTTAGAACTATTTGACATGACCGAGTGGACTCTCTTGCGGTTGCAATGCCTCAACTACTGCCACCGTGAGAAAGAGATCGCGATGGTGGTAGGGCGCCGTTTGTAGATCTGCTTGGAATATAAAAATGTATTTACGTTTGAATCTTCCGTATCCGGTGGGAACGGTGATTATCCGGATACTCATCGCAACGCCAACGGCGGCGGAGTCATCGTGCAAGATGGTGCGGGAAGTGCAGAAAAAACGATCTGACGAGGTAATCGCTCGACGAACGGCCACGTTGCAAGCAAGCACACAATCAGGCAGGGCGGCATCGTCGCGGTCGCAGCTCGCCGCAGCTTCGGCGAAGCGAAAACAAATCCAAACGGCGGCACTGCAATCACCGCTAAAGAGACACAAGCCCTTGTCGAGTTTAAGGCTTGCACCGACTGCGGAATGTGTCCGATGCCATGCGCGAAGTGACATGAGCCGCATCAAATGCATCTTTTGCAATGCTTCCGTCCATCTTGCGTGCACGACGCCTGTCGCGCGTGTACTCGGTTCGCCTGGCTTTCCCGAAAATGCTGCGTACTGTTCGCTCCAGTGCTACACCGACGACACCGGGAACCCAATTCCAACTTCTGGGCCAAATGTACGCACATATCTTCCCTTTTTGCTCATACATGAGTAGGAAGTCCACATGTCCACATTGAAACCCGCTCCTGCGCTTCCTTTGCCAGCACCATCGCCCCCTCCATTCGCTCCACCTGCTCCCACACCCAAATTTCAGCGTCGCGCAAGACCCGGTGACTTCGTCGAAGGCGAAGCGATTACCTCTGCCATTCTCAAGTACACAAAGCGCCTCATGCGGAGCTTCTGAATACGCGTCATAGGCACTCTGGCGTGAAAGCACCTCGCCCAGTTGAGATTCCTCCAAGGTCGTTCTCGTCGCACCAAGCTCCTTCGCCAGAGCGCAAGACACTACAGTTTGAATCTACCTCCCCCGTCGCTGATCTGCATAAGCCACCGTCGTCTGCGCACTTCCACAGCGCTCGCTCTGCCGAGGTTTTGCAAGGCTCGCTTGGCATGCCATGTCGCTGACACGGCCGTCCACGTAGATTGAACCTGAGCGTGTGCGCTACGTGAACGCTCCAACGAAAGACACAAGTCCTAATATCGAGGTATGTCGTACTCTCCCAGCCATTCCTTCTTGTCACTGTGCTTGTAGGACGATGTCCGGTACCACGACTACTTCAACCCCCCACGTTTTCTTCCGCAAACACGGGCCCAGCCACCTCGAGCAAGCACGTCCGCGTCGCCATGGCCGAAATGGACCATTCTTGGAGGCGTGGCGTTCGTGCTGGTGGGTGTTGCGGCAGCGTATGTCTCTGTGTTTCTCGAGTCGATTCCGTTTTGCGACTCGAACGCGACCACGTCAGGGGCGACGGCCACCGCGTTTTGCCATCCGTGCCCGGAATACGGCATTTGCTTTTCGGGTGATTTGCACAGCTGCAGAGACCCGTACTTGCGCGTCGAGCGGGCGTGCTTGGAGCCATCCACGGTGTCGAGAGATGCCGATCTCATGACACAGCTCCTCCCGCGGTTCCTCGTCAAGCGCGCAACGTCGACACTGTGCAACGCGACGGTGATCGCAACGCTGCTCTCGAACGAATCGTCCAAGCCGTCGCAAGTTGTCACAAATGCGCTGGACCTGCGCAATTACTTGCTCCACCAAGCCATGTGGTATGTCATCGTGACCGTCACGGTTACGCTAACGTCATCGTAGGGACGAAGTCGACGCGGCCGTGTTCAACGTCACGTTCAACAAGGCGATGCGCCAGCTGAAAGAACTCCACCCAGAGTTCTACTACACGGCGGATGGCGACGTCGTCCTCCATCGCGACGACGTTGAGATGTGGTGTGCGTTGCAGCTGCATCTTTGCGACCATGTCGAAGTATGTAACCATGACATGCTGCGAATGTGACGTGATCCTTGTCGCACCAGGTCTACGCCGCCGTTCTCGTCGTCGTTCTGACAATTTTGGTGACTGGTACATGGCAGCGCCGCCGTCGCGCGACAGAGTCCCAGGTACTGCGCGCCTCATGATGCCATGTTGATACATGATGCTTAACGGCAGATAAAGCGACTGGTGCACGCCGTGCACGTGGCGCTCAAGCAGCCGTCAAACGATCTGGTCGATGGCGCCGTCGCTCATTTGCGTCACACGTTGTGGGGCGGCAAAGCCGACCATACGTGGCAGCGCGTGGTGCAAGCAATTCACGACGACGCGCGCATTCGTGAGCGTTATATTCTGTACGAGTGTCTTCGCCACGTCGGACATGCATTGACGTGAACTTCGTGGCTAGGCATCGCGGCCAGCAAGTGCTCATCTGGTACGGCCAACAGCACCGCGAACATTGCGGAAGAGGGTGTGACCTATCGTGTAGGGAATGGATTGGGACGAGGCGAGACGATCGCAACATCTTGCGGGGGCAACCCGTCGAACTCGTTGATTGAGAGACGTGGATGCAGTCGCGCTATGTTTAGACGGTGGTAGTCGACATATCGTTCGTCAACATGGACTCGAACTTCGTTGTGGCGGTGTCCATGCTTGGAATTGGCATCGAGTTCACGCAGGATGGTCCGATGATGAGGAGAGTGGATACATTGCTTACAAGACAGACTTGATGGCGTCGACAACGACGTCGACGTCGTGGGATGTCGTGCGCCAGTTCGAGAACGCCGCCCGCACACCCCATTGCCCTTGGTACGTTGTTGGAGTGAGGAACACTTGGTGCGTGTCAGTGAGCCGCTGGAGCCACACCAACATCTTGGTTTCATCGTCGACGCCTTGTACCGTAAACAGCACGACGTTCAACCGCACAGGCGCCACCACCGCCACGAGATCCTTGAACTCGCCCAGGCGGGTAGCTAGCAAGCGCGCGCACTCGACGTTTCGACTTACGATCTCGGCATGTCCATCTCGGCCGTACGCGACGACGCTGAACCACGCGGCTAGTGCGCGCCAGCGACGTGAGTTTTCCGGCGTCAGGTGGACAAAGTTGGGCGTGACATTGCTCGCGACGTTGCCCAAGTATGCCGCCGCATTTTGGAACACTGCAACCTACAGGATTCGATGCCACATATCGGAATCAAGATACAAAAGCCGGCACGTGGAGGAAAATTGCCGCAACTTGCATCCACATAGTGATATGCATGCCAATATCTTCTATCTCCTGACTCATATGGAAACTCTACCTGTAAATCTTGCCGCTTGGTGAATTGCAGCGCACTGTCGTACGGAACATTCATCCACTTGTGACAGTCGATGCAAACCGAGTCGGCGTCGTCCATTCCAGCCACGAGGGGCGCCAGCGTCGCGTCCAGCGCGGCGAACGCTCCAAACGCTCCGTCCACGTGCAGCCAGAAGTCGTGGCGCTTCTTGAGGGCGGCGAGTTGCACCAAATCGTCAAAGTCTCCCGTGTTGACAGTCCCTGCACTTGCGACAACGATGCAGGTTCCGTTGAACGACGTCATGGCCACATCGAGCGCATCGATGTCCATGGCTTCGCGACCAGCAAGCGTTGCGACTCGATGCACGGCCGACCGACCCAGACCGAGCATCGACGCAGCCTTGGAAACACTCGAATGGGGAGTGCCGGCAAAGATGCGCACGGGACCGAGAGCCGCGAGGCCGTCTGTGCTAACGTGGACCCCACGACGCTCGCCAACCCATTCTCGTGCAATTGCGAGACCGACGAAGTTGGACATGGTGGCACCAGTGACAAAAACACCAGTGTGCGAAGGAAGGTTAAACCACTTGGCGAGTGAGGCGACAGTTTCTCGCTCAAGGGACGGTGCCTCCGAGTCCCAGTTGCTCGTGGGATTTTGGTCCACAGTCGACGTGATCCAGTCTCCCACAAGACTGGCGGGAGTGCTTCCACCCGTCACAAACCCAAGGTATCTATTTGTTCAATGACCGTCGAGAGTGCATGGAGGAGAACACCCACCGTGGACCGGCGCTACCAGAAAGATGCGGCAGCCATTGCGTACGGAATCGTTCAAGAGCACCGACAGCCCCGACACCAACGCTTACATCGTCAGCTTCGACCGCATTCCGTTGTCTCGAAGGAGTTCGTGCGGCAGGAACGGCATCCACGTTGCAGAGATAGTCTACCGCCAGGGCTTGCGCAGCGGAGGCGATGTCTGGCAGCGTTTCGAGGTCGCGGGCAAGTGTTGGGTGCATCGAGAATGATCAAGTGGCGCACGGTGTCGCTTCTCCGTGGATCAAGTGGGAATTCTTGGCATGCGATGATGCCAAACCCCTCCAGCATCATATCTGGCAAATTTGAAATGAGTTTAAACCTACCATGGGATGTAAAACGCAATGGTTTTAGAGGAAAACGCACAGGGCATCTACCATACTAGTAGGCAAATTTAATTCAAGACTAAAACGTTTTCGTTCAAACAATAAAAAACGTCATCTGATGGTGGTTGGCGCCAACATGATTCACCTCGCTGGGTTCGATGATGAGGCCGACGGCGGCGTGCTGCTTTTGCATGCGACAGAGACTCCATCGCTGCCACTGCGACGCGCATTCACCGATCTACAGACATGGGATCGATTCCTTCACAAGAACCACCCTCTCGATCACAAACGCTTGCCCACCCGCCGGTTCAAGACCCTCATGAACACATCGTGGACTCGACACGACAACAGTCGACACCTCCACCTCCAAAAGAACATTTCGCTCTGTGAGGCGTGGATACAAGCAACTTTCCGCAGGCTTCCTCTCCAGATGCAGCGTGACTTTATCGACCCCGACGCGTACCTTGAATGCCGGCGTGCCGCCGCCGACCGGGTTGCACGGACGAAAGCGGCCAAGGACCTCGGACAGTTCTTTTCCCCGCTGTCCTCCATCAACCTTTTGCTCGACATTGTGTTCGCCATGCCCTTAACCTTGTCTTCCGCATTGTTCCTTGAGCCGTCCTGCGGCACCGGCAACTTTTTTCGTCCACTTGTCGAACGCGGCGCCACGCGCATCCTCGGCTACGAAGTGGATCCGTTGGTGGCTGCTTCCGCGAGTGCCGCAGGTATTCCCGAAGCACGCGTTATCTGCGGGGACTTCCTCACGTCCACCAAGCCATCGGATGCGAGCGACGTCATTGTCGTCGGCAACCCTCCCTTCTCGTCAGCAGGCGACGATGTGATCCTGTCGTTTCTCCGACATGCCGTGGACGCGTGGCAGCCCATCGTCGTCGCGTTCATTTTGCCCGACCGATGTGCGAAACCAGCGTACGTCGCAACCATCGCGACAACGTTATCCCGCGGCGGGTACGCGATCCACGGCCCGATTGTGCCTGTTCCTGACAGTCACTTTGACTTTCACGGCCGACGGATAAATAAACCGAGTGTTGTCCTCGTGTGCGTTGAGACATCGTTCATCGCGCGGAAGACGGATACATGAAGACTTGCGCCACGACGTCCACTATGATGCGACTATGGTTCGCCACCCCGTGCATCGACTCCCGTGAGCCAGGGCAAGGCCGTCCTTCGTTCCGAGATAGAATAGTACGCTGGGCTGCGCTACGAGTGTCCTTGAGCAATTCTCCTCCACTTTACTGGGCGTGTGCTCGGTTGCGACCACGGCAGCTCTGACTCACGAAACCTGGTCGCGTTCCAGGCATACGATCACCTCGTCCCCAACGACACTCGTAGAGGGCTGCTACATGTGCTGACTGTGTTCCGTCGGGACGGTATGATGCACACGGGTGGCGCCATGGGCGTGCGCACATCGCCATGAAAAATGTGAGCGGTACACTCAATAAAGTAAAGAAAGCGTACTTAAATGAAGGGTTCCCCTTCACTTCCACGTTTCCACCATGGGCATTCGACGGGAGGCATGGAAAGACCCGTTTGTGGCGGCGAATGCCGTGATTGCAGCGGTGGTGCTCTTCTGCTTCTTCGTCCACCCCACCAAATATGTCCGTGTCCAGGGAGAGTACGTCGACGATTGCGTTCCACCCCTTTGAATACGTGTGGTAGATGCTCGTCGACGTGGATCGATGTAGATCACCCGTCCAAGAAACCCGTCTGCTGCGACCGATTAGGCGCCGGTGGACCGTGCTACCCATTCATGCGTGAACTGCACACTCTTACGTCGGGACAGGTATTGTTGGTTTCTGTCGTCCATATGCAGCAAAAGATGACGGAGTCGAGAAGGGAGCGTGGACGGTGCCGCTGGCTGTCCTCCTGTTCAACTTTGCCACAACCATCTTCCTGCCCAAGGTGTCGATGCGTCGAGTGGCCGCGATATTCAATCGACTTGCCCTGTACTTTGGTATCATGGTATTCCGGACTGTGGTGCTATACATCGTGTTCAACCGAATCGAGCGCGCGTTGTTTCCACGTCCCGAAGCGTGCTGGTACGGCCATCTGCGTCGCGATAAGAAGTGCATCGACGGATTCGATCACGCCGACCACATCGTGCTATACATGGTGCACTTCGTGGCGATTTCGTGCTTTGAATGGAAGGCTTTGGGCATGGAAGCGACCCATCCCGCCAAACGCATTCTCCTGCGCATCTGGCTTGCCGCTGTCTTTGTCGTGGCTTGCTATAGCATCTACCACACTGCTTACTCGTTTCACAGGTGACATTTGCGTGCCATTTATTGCTGCTCATTGGCATGTTGTAGTGCGTGGGAGAGCGTCGTCGGAATGCTCAGTGCTCAATTGTTCGTCATGATGCCGCTATATTTGTTGACGCGAGACTTGTGGCGGCACATTCATCCGGCGTTCAAGCTGAGCCACTTTGTCTGCCAGCAATAAAAATCCATGCAGCACAGTGCACCGACGTCGGCATGGCCGCGGCCTTCCGCCATCCCTCGCGCATGAGTCGTCGGCGGTGGTGCACCTTGTAACGTATTTCGTACATTACCGTGTCGTACACTATGTATGGCATGAAAAATATTTTTCGTTTGTGCAGAAGAATACTGTATTCTCGTCAGTACTTGTATGGTGTCCCTTCGCTTCACCGAACACCACATGTTCGTACGTACAAGTACTGTTCGTGCTCTGTGATGTACGATCTGACTGCTTTTTTGACGAGGCAGAACGCGAGAACAGGTACGAGCGCCGACGATGGAACTCGATGGAAGACGTGTGACGACGCTGTGGGTGCGTAGCAAGCATGGCGGAGCCAGGTGTGGACTCGTACGATCACCTTTTCAAGCTTCTCTTGGTGGGTGATGCCGGTGTTGGGAAGAGCAGGTTCGTTTCGATCGAGATCTCGTTCATTGACATGTGCATTGCGTGGCAGCATGCTCCTTCGCTTTACCGAAGACACGTTCGATGATCACTTGCAAAGCACCATCGGCGTGGATTTTAAGGTCAAGATGATCACGGTGGACGGGAAACGCATCAAGATGACGATCTGGGACACGGCCGGCCAAGAACGGTTCCGCACTCTCACGAGCTCGTATTACCGAGGTGCTCAAGGCATCGTCTTGGGTGCGTGGCTCCTACTTCTTGGAATCGACCTTTCCTGATCTCTCCCATGAAGTGTACGATGTTGCCCGCCGAGACACGTTTGCCAACCTCGACACGTGGCTGCAAGAAGTCGAAGTGTACAGTCCTGCGAACGGGCGCGACGTCGTGAAGCTCCTCGTCGGGAATAAGATCGACAAGGTCTTCGACATATCTTTGTTCCATGCATGACGGTGCTTTTGATGCAGGAGCGAGTCGTGAGCCGTCGGGAAGGCGAAGCATGGGCGCGGTCCAAGGGCATGTTGTTCGTCGAGAGCAGTGCCAAGACCAAGACCGGCATCCAGCAAGTGTTTAACGAAGTGGTTCAAAAGGTGTGTACACTTGGAAGATCCCATCTCCTGTGCATGCCGCCTTGCCTCATGCTTGATCGTAGATTCTTGACAACCCTACGCTCCTTTCCAACACAGCGCCCAAGAGCCGCGTCGCAAAGCTCGACCTGGCAGACGCGCGACCAGCCGCTTCCTCCGGTTGCTGCTAACGGATCGATTCGAACGAGCTGGAAAAAGAACGCTCCTGCGATGGAACTCGGATGGAGGGCGTGGTGACAGTCACCTGCGGCAGCCATGACAAATACCAACCTCCCAAAAAATAACTACAATATATGACTCGTGTGCATGCGCACATATGGCCGTCGACGAGCGGCTTGCACTTGGAGGAGCAGCTGCATCATCGTGACACGGCTGTCGGTAGAGTGGTCAACGCGTTCGTGGCAGTGTGACAGCGCCGGTGTCTTCAATGCATGGCGGCGCCGCGTCGCTTGCTTTCCGTGCAAGGTATTGTCGTTTGGTCGGGTCTCGCTTCGTTGGAGCACCCAGAAAGATGATCATGATCGAACATGTCCGTCGGTCGTCGTCTGCTCGTCGGTACCACCACACTTGGGTTGCCTCTACATCGCCACAACTCGAGTCTCTTCAGGCACCTTCCGGCGTCTCCACCTCCGCCCGCCATACTCGTCAGCGCTTTACTCGATGCACTCGCAGCGGCGCCGTCGACACCGCGTCGTCATGGGTCTTGCCCCGATTTCGTCGTGTCGGTCGTTTGGTTGTGGGCGTCATGCGACCGACAAAGGTGAATTATCCGGACAGTCGCCTGGATCATGTTGCGATTTGTATGCGCCTTGAAATTCGCAAGGGTGATATCCGGATAAGTACGTACTAGCCATTTCACATTTTCGGCGGAAACCCACTTTGTTTCCCACAAGGATATTGGCCATGGGACCGCGTGTGGGGCAGTGGTCGGGGTGGGTGTATAAGCAAGGCAGCCGCGTGAAGACGTGGAAGAAGCGGTATATGGTGCTCCAGGGTCGCCACATCACGTACTACGACAAGTCGGTGCTGGAACCGAACCCGATCGAGAAGGGTGCGCTTGTCCTCGTCGACGTGACGCAGAACTTTGCGATTGCGAATGGACTGTTTCTCCATGACAACAAGGGCAAACAGATGAAAATCTACACGGACACGACTGCCGAGTTCCAAGACTGCTTCATCTCCATGCAGCGCGCGTGCCGAGGAGACGCCCCGCCGTCGGCTGTCGCACAGCAACAACAACAGGCGTCGTATGCGACGTCTTCCCAACGGTACTCGTCATCTCAATCGCTGTCGTCCGACGTACCGTCGTACCGTCCGTCGAGCGGTAATCCTGAACCTGTGACACTCGCACGCCCATCGCGCGCTGCGTCGGAGCGTCTTCCGTCACATGTGGCTGTCGATTCGCGGTTCGGGACTCCGGAGCGTGCATTGTCAGAACGTGTGGAACGCATGCATGTGTCACCCGACTCAGGTGCTTGCCCTCGTGCCACGGGTACACCGAGCGGTCCCAAGCTCCTCGGGTCGGGGTACCTTCGCACTTCGTCTTCCGAATCGAACGACGGCGCGCCGCTTGTCCAGCGCAACAGCTCTGGCGCGCTCGGTCGAAAGGAAGTCCTTCGTGGGTGGCTGCACAAGGAAGGCCAGCACGTGCGCAATTGGAAACGCCGGTACTTTGTGCTGACCGGCGACCACTTGGCGTATTACGGCAAGCAGGGCGAGGCCGCCAAGGGCGAAGGCCGCGTGCTCGAGGTCGCCGTAAACCCTCAAAAGGCATTCGGGCTCCTCATCCGTCTCGATTCGGACCGTATCCTCCGCGTCGCCGCCGAGAGCGAAGACGACATGGAGCGGTGGCAGTCAGGGCTGCGCGCGGCGCTCAAGAACCAGGAATACTTGGAGCGTCGCATCAGCAGCAGCATTCGGTACGCGGGGTATTTGCACAAGAAGGGGTCGAACATCAAGACGTGGCACCGCCGATGGTTCATGCTGACTGGGCTGAACCAGCTCGGGTACTGCGACAAAGAAGGCGAAACACCCAAAGGATATGGCAAAGTCATCGACGTGTGCGTCAACCACAAACGCGCCCACTGCCTGTACGTCCATCTTGACTCGGGTCGGCGCCTGTCGGTTGCGGCCGACTCGCAAAACGACATCGACGGTTGGTACCAAGTCCTGTCGAAGGTCGCTGCTGCCGTGGCGCAGAACCAGCAGCAACAGCGATCGTCGGCACCCGACGCGACGAACGAATCGCTCGGCAAACACACGTCGCACAGCGGATGGCTGCAAAAGGAGGGCAAGTCTATCAAGAGCTGGAAGCGACGGTACTTTACCCTGCACGACCGCATGCTGGTCTACCACAAGGACATGGAAGGTGGGAATGCCGTTGGGCAGGGCATCGTGAGCGCCGTCACGGAAGGCATGTCGCGACCATTTTCGATTGATGTGCACTTTGAAACGGGCCGTGTGCTGCGTGTTGCCGCCAACTCGGAGCGGGATCGCGCCGCATGGATGGCCGCGCTCAATCGTGGCATACAAGCCCGACGCGTCGAGTCCACTGGGGTCCACGAAGGCGTGTCCCTCGGTAGCAGCAGCAGTGCCTCGACCGAGTTTGGGTCCACGGCCACCATCGGCCCCATGGAAGGGTGGCTCGAGTGGGAGGGCGCTCGTACGTTCTTTACCTTGACAAGCGGCCGCGACTTCAAGTGGTTTGCGAACCCGAACGGTCTCGTGCTGGGCAAGGGGACGCTCAAGGACATGCGAGTCGAAAACTTTCGCGATTTCATCATGCACATTGTATTCACGAACGCGACACCGATTCGAGTCAAGGCCGAGTCGAGCGAAGAGCTGAATGCATGGCGCCACGCGATTACGATGGCGATGAAGGGCCAGCTTGTGGCGACAGCCGCCCCTTTGCCCACCACGGACAGCTCGACGCATGCTGCGGCGGCTGGACCGTTGGTCAAACAGGAGGGCTGGATGCTCAAGGAAGGCAGCAAGATGAAGAACTGGAAACGGCGGTACTTTATCCTGAAAGGCACGGAGCTCATGTACTACAAGAACGAAATGCTCGGGACTGTTCTTGGCCAAGCCAATTTTGTCCATGTCAAGCCCAACCCGGAGAAGCAGTGGAGCCTCATCGTGATTCTCGAGACCGGTCGGCTCCTTGTCGTCGCGCTCAACTCGGAGCACGAGGAAGCGATGTGGCTCAAGGCGTTCCAAACCGCGTTACTACAAGCCAGCCACCACGGAGAATACAGCAGCCAGGACGCCCCCCAGGCGACTCTGGCCGCGCCCGCGCAAACACCCGCCCCTGTGCAACAAGGGCACACGGCGCCACCCCCCGCTCCACTTGCCGCTCCTTCGCGCCGAAGCGCGGCGGAACACGACGAGTACGACGACGCCGACGACGATATCTACAACACCCAGCTGAGCTCGGCGGACAGTCTTGTGTTCGAGGACTTTGACAACGACGACGACGACGATGAACTCGACAGTGACATGGACAACGGATCCATCTCGTCGGACGACGAAGTGTACGGACGGCGCGAGGACCGCTCGTCTCCCACGCGACCGACACCCGCGGCGGCACCGGCGAAACCCAACTACGATTCGGACGGTCTCAGCTCTCTCTCGAGCATGTCCGACTTTGAAGATTAAAAGAGACGCCGTGTGCTGGAAATCTCCTTTCGAATAGATATACAAGTTCATGTCGATGTTTGCTCGAGCTCGCGCTCCTGATATATCTAGCCAAATTGCTGCAGCAACGATGCTGCTGCATCTACGGCGGGGTTGGGCCAAACGCTAAGTTGTTTTCGATCGATGTTGTGCTCAAGCTCGGCAGCAACGCCTTTCTCCTATAATATTTTATATACAAATTGCTGTAGCAACGACAGGTTTCGTCGACATACATAACTACTGACTGCCCGGGCTTCTGGCAACACTGATGCATTTTTACACGTATATGTTCAAATGTGGAACAATGTAGAAATATTGCGCTGATTTTTAAGCAAGCACCTGTTTTATGAAATATTTGTCAGGGATTGTTGTACGGATAAAGATCGGATACGCTTGAAAAATAGAACGACCAGATAACTATCGTGTCGTGCGCCATTTTCCAATCGAGACAATGAAGGCGGTGCAGTGCCCGATTTGCTACGACGCGTGCTACGACCCTGTCAGGACGCGCTGCGGCCATGCGTACTGCCGGCCATGCCTCGTGCAGTGGACCGCGGAAGGGCATACGTCGTGCCCGACGTGCCGTGGGTTTATCACGGCACCCAAGGCCGACATGGAGGTGGCATCCTTGTCGTGGGACCGGTATGTTGCGATTCACTTTCTCCTGGGTCTGCATTGGTTGAACCCGTACGGCATTGGTCTTGGATATTACCTTGGCAGCCATGGCTTCGGACTCGTGGCGCTGTTGACGCTCTTGCGGTGGAGCGACCGATACGACGACGTGGCCACAACGTGGGACTTGCTCTTCCACGCGTTGCTCATCCTTGTCACAGCCAGCATCGCGATCCAAATGATGTGGAGCGTCGGCATCTACTACACCCTTGACTGGATAGCTGTCTCGTTCTGTGTGTGTTTCATCGCGCAACTCGCCTGGCATCGTCTGGTGTGTCCAATTCCGTACAACCCGTTCGAGAAGTTTGGCCACACAAGGCCCGTGGGAACAGCGATACGCCGTGCACGTTGATGCGAACGGAATACTGGTCTATCTACTCATCTCGTCAATCTACACAACTCGTCTTCATTCACCATCCTCATTCTTGCCTTCCACGCGCGTCCTCGATCGATCGTCTATGAATGCATCCATCGCGTCACAGCCCTGCTACAAATAGTTTGGTCATGAAACCAAAAATGCAATATATATCATGTTTTATATAAATATTCACTGAAACCTAAACATTGTATGTGGAATTCAACCATGGTTTTTTAAACAACCCACACACTCGAACGCAAAGACAACAGGCATGCTCGTCGCTCGCTGTCGCAAAGGATTTCGGAATGCGCAGCTGCGTGGGGCAGCTGCGTGCAGCCCATGTTCACGGCACACCCACAACAGCGCACGAGGTTCGTTCGATGGCCCCTGCGTGGTCCAGTCAAGTCAAATGCCGACCCGATATCCATGGTAGACATGACGAGGACGGACAATGGCAACTTCGATCGTTGTCCACACCCTGGTGTGTTGTAGCTGCCATGGCTATGGATAGTGTTCTTCCTGACAGCGCGCCTTGTTTTCCTTGGCGCGCCAACCAACGAAACATGGCAACGGACCAAGTGGCCATCCCGAACCAGACCACGCAGTCGGCTAGGAGCGCAACGTGCACAATGCAGCTCCACATGCACCACTGGAGGGCTTACGGAAACCACAGAGCACACGCACCGTCCGTGGCCGTGCTTGCTGCCGGGCTGGCGCGGAACGTCGTCGTGCGTGGCAACTTTTCACGTACAACATGGCGAGCCAATCACCTGTGCGTTTGCCACGGGCGCGAAACGGATCGTTGACCAGTCGACGCCGTGCGGAGTGGACCACTTCGCGATGCCAGTCGAGTGCGCTATCTGCTACGATTCATTCTTCTATCCGTTCAGGACGTCCTGCGGCCATGCGTTCTGCCACGAGTGCCTCTCGAAGTGGACTGTGCGATGCCAACAAGCCATCTCGTGCCCGCTATGCAGGTCCCCGATCCGTCGCGTCGACGGCGAGCCGCGCCGAGCCTCGCTCAACCTGGACCGATTCATTTTGCTTGAACACATATGCAACATGGCCAGGACGTGGATGCAGATTGCGATGGTGGGTGCCACAATGGTGCAGGATTCGTGGCTGCCCATGCTTCTAGTCATCGTCACCGCCATTGCTCTCCACCGAATGTCGTGCGAGGACTCGTCCATCCATGTTTCCGTGCTGGCGTATTGCATTTCACTGCATACGATACGCCACCAAGTGCTGCATCTACTCGCGTCCAGCGTCGACCACCTGACCACCGCGATGTGTTTGAGGCGCTGCGGCACACCCGACATCCATTCCACCGCATCCAGCACAGCCACGCTGTCGAGCCACACATAACGTTTTCTAATACCAACCACGCGAGGTCGGCAAGGAGTCGCGATTGTTCTGGGCCACACATGTGCATGCGAAAAACCCACGCACGGCGGCGATTTGGCCGGAGATGGACGACTCCAGTGACACGTGCCCCCGCACGGTTGGCTTTGTGACCGCTCGGATCTCGTCCAAGTGGTCGGTCCTTCCTGCCTGCGGGTCGACGATGCAAGCCACCGCAGTCACGAACATGTGAACTCGTCGCAACGCAAGTTGGTTCCCACGTCGTCATTCGAGCGTCGATCCATTTGGTTTATGGCAAAGCACGGGAGGCACTGCGGACCGCGACCTCTTCGTCCAGTCTGTCCACGAGATGGTCCTGCGCCTTCTTGACCGATTTGCCGTAGCTCTCCCGCACAAACCCTTCCACCGTGCCTCGCAAAAAGCCAAATGCGCCGCCGATCGTGCATGCCCCCGTCTGCGTCATTTGGCTCCTATGGCATCCATCAAGCCATCGTCACTCGACGACAGTGGTTTGTTGCGTCGTACCAGCCGTCGCGTTCGTCGTGGCGCTGAAACAACAAAAAGTCCTCGACGAGAACCAAGTGCGCAAAGCTTTCGTTGCGGCCTCGGACGTACAGCACATGGTTGGCCTGGTCCCACAGCGATTCCTCGGCCACGTCAAAGAACTCGGCGTTCGCAAATCGTTTGATGAATCCTGGCGTGTTGTTCTGGAGCTTGAGTCGGCGTTTGCGGTAGACGCAGCGCCATTTGGGAAGTGGCACCTCCTCAACCAACTCAATCCCGGCGATCGCAGGCTGCGCCGGGTCTACGGACCACGCAAATCGTCACAAACACCGCAGGCACGACTCGATAGCACGCGGCAGCATGGAGCACCGATGGAGAGTGCGGCTGCATTATCTCACGACAGCTCCGACGCCCCCACCGCGACACAAGAACAGCATCAGCGACACGCTCGACCAACCTGGAAAAGGCTCTTTGAAGCGGCGGAAATGCATGTCGGCCGTCTACATCGAACGATCGGTTGGTTGTGGTGCTCGCGCAAGGCAGAGAAAGCGGGCGTCGTACGATTTCGATGGGGTGTTCCAGGACGGATCGAGTCGACCCGAGCGCAGCCGAGCCGGGGACCGGTTTGAACACCATGACGGGATGCTCTTCGGTCGCAGCGCCGACTTTGCCAAGCACAAGGCCGAGTGAATGGAGGAGGTCGAGGTCGGCGGCGCCTTCCGACGCCTCCGACCGTTCCTGCGCCGTACCACGTGGCGCGTCCACGTAGTACAGCACAGACAGTATGTTCCACTGGAGCAACTGCGGCGAACAAGTGAAATGATTTTGCTCTAGAGGACATGCAGGACGTACATTCGATTGCAGCAACGTCCCGAACGCAAGCCCAATCGACACCCATCCCACAGTAACACGAATCGAATGGCTGGCCAGCCAGATATCGCATGCACCGGAAGCATGAGCGAGCGGACGGCACACATCCGAGATCGTTCGACTGAGTGAGATGGCGACGGTCGTCGCCACCAGAAGCAGCGCAAGCGTGCCGAAAAAGGTTCCCACAAGACGCGGGAACGACGTCTGGCCTGCTTTCTGCGGTTTGTATCGCTTGATGCGGCGAGCCATTGACTGTCTTGACGTTCCAGATGAAGCGGACTCGGAATTAGGTGCATCCTGTTCACGACACATGACGACAAAGATTCGCACGGACAAAGTGCACCTCTGGCAAGATAGCATGGACGAGCTGCACGTATTCAGCTTGAGCAGCAGCATTTGACATGCCACGGCGCGCATTCCACGCATCCCTACGATTGCATGAAGAGAATGTAAGAAGGAAGCGGCGGGGCGTCGTTGTATCGAGCGATGGAAGAGCGCATGGCAAGGAAGATAACGTACCATTTCGCTTTGCCGTCGTAGTTGATAGGGCAACCTACGCAGATGGGATCGTGTGTTGAGGGCAGTGCAATCGCCATCGCCATGGGGGTGGCGAATGCGATAATGACGTCGATTCGGCGAAGCCAACGGACGTACGTGGTCTCTCTGTCGAGATGTCTCCATGCAGCGCTTGCTCATGGAGGCCATAGAGCTGCATAGCATGTCTCGCGAGAAGATGCTTGTGCGTAGCCTGCGCGGTCAACACACGCGCGGCGGCCGCATGGAACGCGGCTTCCCCTGCCATCCTTCGCCTAGTTTGGTCACACCCTTTACTTCCTGATTTTTTCCCAACCGAAACGTCAAAACCTCTGTCATTTAATAAACTTCAACTTCGCCACATGGCCCACCACGATCTCGAGGCGGCCATCGCCGCAATGCAGATGCGCCACGCGAGCGTAAAGCCCAGAGGAAACAGACTCAAACTCGGTGCATGAACCGATGGAGTACCGTTGCCTCCCCTCAACATGAATTTGAGTGCACTACAATGGATGCCACTAGGGACCACAGGACGGCAACGCCAAGAAATTCCGCCGATGAAACGAGACCCCGCGGCTTTGCGCTGCATCCACCGCATGCCCTGTGGAGATTGGTGCATGTGTCTGATGCGAAGCTTGTCCACCGAGACGCAACTTGTAACTGCCTCTCGCAGCACTTCGCGACCGTTCACGCATGATAAACCCGATCCCAGCGCCAACCGTGGTGGCCCCGTCTCGCTGGAACTCGGCGTTGTCGTATTCGGCCCTCCATGCGGCTGACGTGAACGGCGACCATTCAGTCACTGCCGCGGAAGTCCGGGCGATGGGCCTTGCGCGCCAACTCGCCGACTCCCCTCCTCCTCTCGCCGAGACTATACCGCCGTCACAGCCTTCCGCTGCTCGTTCGTCCCAAAAAGGGCGATACGCTCCATGGTTGAAAAAAGCGCTCGGGAAAATGCATCACGCGGAGGCGTTGTGGCAAAAACACCGCCCCGACACGGCGCAGCCACCGAAAGCCCCCCAACTCCATTCGGTGCACTTGGCAAAGAAAGGATCGCAAACCAAGTCGATCCTCCACCGCGTCGTCGTTCCCTCGATTCCCGCCGTCGACGCAGAGCCTTCGCTCGCAGAGCCCGTGACGACGATCTGGACGGCGGCCCGAGACGGCAACGTGGCCGAAGTCCGCCGCCTCCTCGACGCCGACAAAATGAAAGTGTTTAGCCACAACGAAATGGACGGCGGCAAAACGATCCTCCACATCGCTTGCTGGCACGGCCACGTCCAAGTGGTCATGTTCGTCACCATGTTTGTGCAAGCCACCTATGGCCTCGACGCGCTCTCAACGTACGTAAACGCGATCGACACGGCGTACATGCGAAGCACGGCGCTGCTCGACACGTGTCGGTCGCTCAAAGTACGTAACATTTTCTTGGAGCTCTTGCATCCGCTCGTCTTGTTGTGTGGCTCCGTGGAGAGCAGCTCCGTGGCGCAAGTGCCGTGGACGGGCAGGACAGTCGTCGCGATGGCTGTTTTTTCTTGCTCCGTTTTGGTCCAGTTGCCTCACGCCGACATGGCGACCACTAGGGCGACGTGAATGCCAAGCTCCAGATCCTCAAGCTGCTCGTCCAGTTTGGTGCGACCGTCGAGCACCAGGACGCGCACGGAGACAACGCGCTGCACTGGAGCGCGCGGATGCAAGCCGTCCCAACTGTTCGTTATCTCATCCAAGACACCGATGCCGCCGTGTACGCGTTCATTTCGGAGAACCATAAGCGGCAAAAGGTACGACGTCGCTCCCGTCGCCTCCGTTCCAAACGTGCCATCGCTAGCCGCTGGACGTGGCCAAGCTCGCGCGAGACGCCAAGCCATGCATGGCGACCAATGCCATCTACGACCTCCTGCGCCGCGTGTACAAGGACTGCAACATCCGGCTCAAGATTCAATACGGGAAGAAGCTGCGGCTCCAGGCCGAAGCGGAAAGTCGGATGCGGCGCATGGAAGATGTCGCGCATGCCGTCGACGTGGCGCGCGTCCTCTGTCTTGGGTAGGACACACGCGTGTGTATGTACCATGTACGACCAGTCACCGCGTCCACATAGCGCGGACCAAATGTGGACGACTGCCATGGACACTGCCGAGACGGTGCGCAACGACCTGGAAGCCAAAGTGCTCGACGAAGGCGGAAAGGAAGCCGTGGGGAGGGCGCAGCTATGGCTCGAGACCAAGGAGGGCAAGGCGTGGATCAAAAACGAGCAGCCCGAGGCGGTCGACGCGATCAAGACCCTTGTGCAGAAAGGAATGATTCCAAAACCACGCGACCTGAAGAAAGCCGCGGTCGTCCGTCTCTGCGAAAGCTACGTCGCGCATCAGGAAGCCGACATGCGAGACCTCATCAAGAAGAAGTTTGGTCGGGACCACCCGTCGTTTGAGTCGCGGGACGTCGAGTACTACAAGCGCTTGGTCCATGCCGTGGCACGATAAAATGCGTCGATCGTGGATCTCGACTACTCGATGAAAAACACGTCCGAGATCGGGCTTGGGCGGTGCGACGCGGCAACGATGACGACGCGGCCAACACACACGCTATCGCACGGGCGCATGGACGGGAGCGTGTAGCGATGGGCCGTTGACGCACACACGGCGGTCTCCCACAACCACACGTTCGATGTGGGGCTCCAGCGTCCCCAGTGCAAAGCGACGACCCCGTCCGAGACGTTGGCAGTGGCGGGTAATTGCCACGATACCTGCGGCGAACAAGGCAGGCATCACACGGTGGACCATGCATCCGGACCGACCTGGATGACGGGCGACGAAGAAGCGATGGGTCGCTGCTCCACTCGGATGGTGTCCCGGTCGATGGGCCATGGAAGGTGGTGCTGCTCGAGGTATGGCGCGACGAGCTGGGTGTGCAGGTGCATTCGTCCGCTGCACGGAGTGTCGAGGACACCCACCAACGACCGCAGCAGTGCTTGGTTCTACCACCAGTAGTACGATCAGCCATCCATTTCCGTTCGAAAGGTGGCGCACCCGAACGACGCTGACCACCCATCGCACAAGTCGTGGCGGCGTCCAATCGAGACTGCTGCACACGAGTGCACGTGCAAGGACCATCGTGTCCGTGCCGCGCTTGTTTCGACTCGGTTCAAGGTACGGCATGACCGTGTGCATGAGCGCCGCGTGGGTGAGCTGCGATGGGGGCATCGCGCGCACTGCCACGAGCAGCTCGACGTCGCAGAGTCGCAGAGTCGCGGACGCATACACGTCGTTCTTGCATCGAATCGCGGCTTTCTACGCCATCGATGCGCACCACAATTGGCACCATAGAATCGTGCGGCCGACGGACGGCGACCTTACATGTGCGAGGAACCGCCGGATGTACTTGGCTGTCGAGATGGCCGCGACGACGGCGCGGACGCGCGCCGCAAACGCATCGGTCGTGAACCGGTGGGGGCGGCCGTAAATGTGCACAACATCCTTGGACTTCAAATCGCCACCCCAAATCGCTTCGTGGCAGTCGACGTTGGGCGCGCGGAGGTCCCACGAAAGCGCCACCCGGCGCAACTGCAGCTCGAGCGCTCCCCGCGCATCCGCACACAGACTGGGAAACCTTCCCCATGTCTGCATCGCGCGCACGTCAAACAGCGCGGGGTCCGGGTTCAACGTGGCAAACGTAGCGACCTTGTCTACCGCGCTGGCCTGCGCACACCGATTGTGACTGGACCTGCGCCGCCATCGCACACACTCGACGTACCAACACGTACTGTTGGCATTGCCGGTGGCTCTCGCCCGCGTCGTGGTCCGCCCGCTGGATTTCGACTCGGTTTGCGATCAAGTCGCCTTCGGCTGCCAAGTACGCCACCCGCGCCCTACCTGGCCATGACGACATGCATCATCACACACGGGTGAACGCACGCTGCGTATTCTGGGCACTGCGGATCCACTTTGAACCACTCGAGTTTGTCGGCGCGCTTGAGATGCATGGCTTCGTGGAGGATCGTCCGCTTCAAATTGGCCTGCCGCGACCACGTCGCGCTGGCTCGTGCGTTTAAAATCAGCATCAAGTGCGTGGCGTCCAGGGGTTTCACGTCGGGCGATGGCGCAAGCGCGCAAGCGGCGACCTGGTCGGCCTGCGCGCGTTGCAGAATGGCAAGAGTTGCTTTGTTCTCGTTGTGCGACTCGACCGCCGTCGCGAGCATCGACTCGAGCGCCAGCACGACGTTCTTGCGATGTTGAACCAGCCTACAATGTGCCACACGTTCCATCATAAGCGATGGGCAAGCAAACCACCAAGCCAAGCGTCGACAGTTCTTCCTACCAATTCTCTTCGGCAAATGCCGCGGTTTGAATGTGACAGCGCCGCCAGCTCGCATCGAGCGCAGTGTGCATGACCTGGTCCAGCGCTCGATACACTTTGTCGGCTGTGTGCGCGGTGCTACCGGCCGCCATCGCGCGCAGTTGGGCCAGCGTGCGATCGAGGAACCGACATCGATCCACGAGCGCATTGTTGAGCCGGGTCTTCCTCGCCGCTTCGTCTAGGCAGATCTGTACCAGCTCATGAGTCTTTCATCGCAAGCTCGCGTCATGCTAGATTGACCTGGAGCAGCTCCGTCTCCTGTCGGGCAAGTCGCTCCAGCACCCGCACACGATTGAAGCTGTACTGCGTGAGCCGCGATTGCTTTTGTAGCTCGAGCCGGAGCATGGAGCTTTCAATGAGCGCGCTATCGACAAACTGGGTAGCATCACCTTTGACCGCGTCGGCATGCACGTAAAGGTCGAGGTCAAGGGCACGCTGCCGCTTCGTCTCGAGCTCGACGACGACATGCAAGAGCGAATACAAGCTAGTCTGCCACTTCTGGACCCGTATCGTAGCACACAAGTGCGCCCAAAGCGCGCTCTTCCACGCCGCTTCCTTCGCTGTAACCAAGTCTTCTGCCCGATCGACGTGGCTCGACAACAGCGCGCGTTCGACAACCATGCGATCCATTTGAGCCTCGAGCTGGCTCGCATCTTCAAACGCACTGGCAAAACAAGTGGACTGGAAAGCCAGCAATTCGTCCCACAGACGCTTGGTTTGCTTCAAGTTGGCCTGCCTCGCGACGCTCTCGACGTGGGATTGTGTGGCCAGGATCTCACGGAGGTGGAGCATGCTCTCCCGCAACGCGACTTGGACTTGGCTGTTGCGCGCTTGCTCTTCGTCAAAGCACCGGAGCTTGTGTCGACACAACGATAGGTCGTCTTTGGCCGCGCGGAACGCTCGCTCGCTGTCGAGGCGCGGCCCGGACATCTCGTGTAGGTGTCGCTCGGCGGCCGCAAGCCCCGTCGAATTCACGTCCAGCACATGATGGCACTGACGGACCCATGCTTGGTGGGCCATCTTCACCACCGACTACACCTCGTCAGCTTTACTCGCTTGTTGGGAATACGCCGCTTGGCGCCTCACCTGCAAAAACAAGATGCAGCACCGACTGTGCAAGTACTTTTTGCGACGGTCCATCGTTTCGTCTTGAACGCGGGCGGCCATCGCGTGTATCGAGGCCCACGCTTCCTCGACGTCCATCGCTTGATCGGGTCGCGTCCATGCCACGTCGCGGAGGATGGCGCATGGCACGTCGAGCGGAATGGCCTCCGCCGCAACATCCGACCGAACGCCGTACGTCGCTTCAAACCGTGCCTTGGCCGCGTCGAGTTGGGTTGCGTGGGCTCGGATCTACTCGACGCTCAGGCATCGTTCGATGGATCAAGAAGTTCAAGTACGCTGTCGAGGTGCTTGGCATGCACAAAGCCGTCCTCGATCCGGTCGAGGACGTGCTTTTCGTGGACTTGGAGGTCCGTCACGGCGCGCTGCAGCCACTCGCCGTCAAAGTTGCACGGGGCCACCGACGGCACAAACGTAAACACTGGCGCCATTGCCGCACTGAACAACTTGTGTGCATCTTCCGCCGGCGCGGCTGCCGTGATCGTTTCCAGCATCGACGCGACTTGCAACTCCCATGACGAGATGCACGACGTCACGATCGCGTCTTGGGCCTGCCATACGACACACATGGATCAACTTGTGATGTCGCCCGGTATTATTCGTGCCTGTTCCAGGTCGGTGAGCTGCTTCACGAACGCAATCTCGGCCTCGTGGACGATCGAGTCCTGCAGCGCGGCGTAGCACTGGTCGTTCACGGCTGTGTACTGCCCACACAGTTCCTGGAGCGATTTGATGAGCGCGCGGTAGGGAAGCAAGGTCCCGGCGGCAAGGTCCGTTGCCCGCTGCATGCGCCCGACGGCATCTTCTTCCAGACACAGCATCTGGTCACGCAACCAAGCGATGCGAGACGTAGTGGTGGCCAGCGCGACCCCGAGGCCGGCGCACTGCACGTCGAAGCCCACCACTGTGCTCCTGCTGTGTCGCTGTTTGGCTTGCTTCAGCTGTTGTAAGGACGCTTGGATGGTTACGAGGTCGTCGACGTCTTGGGCATACCGGTCGAACACGTGCCGTTCAAACTCGACGACGCCAGCGACACGAGCTGCTGCAAGGTCGGCGTGCCTACAATGTCCATCAAACATGCCAAACGGACTTGCTCCAATTCCCCGCCTCGAACGTACGCTGCCTTGTTGTGGAGCCACTGGCGCTCGGCGTGTGATTTTCGGAGCTGGTACAGCGCGGGCGCCAACTGCGTCAGCCGCGTCGACGGCGGCGGCGATTGCAACCCGTGCGGGACAGGTTGCTGCAACATGGAGGCCACCTCTGACACGAGCGCAGCGAACGCTGGATTGTCCTGCGGCCGACGGAATGTGCATTGGTGGCAAGGCGAGGCCACGAGGGTCTCGGGCCGAAGGGAGCGGCAATCGTCGCAGACAAACGTGGCGTCGACATCGAGCATGGTCGTGTTCACAGGAGCTGGAAGGCTTGTTTGACGCACGATGGAAGCGGCTCGTGCGTCCAACTGAATGTGCCACACGTGCTTTTTCATCGCGATGGCATGGGTCACTACGATCGAACCCGCCATGAGTCACCATGAACCCTCGTCTTGTCGACCCACCGGCGTCATCCAGTGCGGTGGTGGACGTCAGAAAGCTGCCCGTCACGAACAAAACTTGGCCGCACAGGCGCCACGCATCCGCCAGGAGCGTCTGCTGCGCCGCCACGATGTCGTCGACGCCCTCCATCTGCACCATCAAGGATGGGATCGCGTTAGACATGGCATAGCCAACGCAACCGTACGTCTTGGGGGAGCTGCTCCTGTTGTAGCCACAACGGCCTGTCGTGCACGTGCACTGGAGGGCACAACGCGACTTCGGGCTGGCCGCGCTGGCGACTTGTTCGAAGCGCAAACACAAGAGCGAGCAGCGCATTTTGAACACTCGGTCGATCGCATGGACACCACACAAACGTTGAAAACGGAAGCATGTCTCGCGGAATCGGCTTGTCTTTTAACGTTGTGTCGGTGAATCTTGCGTGGGTCCACGCGAGCTCGGCCTTGACAAACCCGGCCAACTCGGCTGCCACCGCCTAGATCGTGCAGCTCAGCAACGACGAAACGAGCGAGCGGCGCCGATGGACGTACAGGCTGAAGGCGGTCGATGGCGGCGGCATCCGTGGCCTTTCGCGCGCCCAAGCGACCTTGGACGGCTGGAACGACTTGATCGATCTCGCTCACATCGGACGCCGTACGCATCTCTCGATGCGCCTGCATCCGACGAAACAACACGGCCTTGCCGCCACGAGCGTGTTCGATCAAGCGCGGTGCAATGTCGGTGCGCGCGCGCCGCGTCGCTCGCAAACGGCCCAGCCACGTGTCGAGTTGCAACTCGATCTCGGACGGCGTAATGAACACGTTGTCTGTACGCTTGAGATCGTCGTCCACGAGCCGCAGGCATTTCACGGACTCTGTGAATTCGACGTCAGCGTCTTCGATCCGGCCTTTTGCTTGCAGCAAAGCGAGTGGCTCGATCCATTGTCCCGCGCATGGCGCTGGCGGCGTCGCTGCCTCTGTTGTCTTCTCCATGCCGCCTACAGGACGTGGTCCAGTCGCCTGTCGTCGCCGCAAGTTGGCGTACCCAAGTGGCTGTCCTGGTACACAAATACTGGCATCGCCTTCTTCGCCACGACTTTGGGCGGCCGCAGCGCGCGACTGCACTCATCGACGAGGATCTTGACATCGTGCTCATGAACAAATGACACAACATCGTCGTCGAACGCTTGAAAGCGCTGGCGAAATGCCTCCTTGGCCGCGCGGAGCTGCTCAAAGTGTTTCTGGGCGTTGCTCGTGTCGACGTCATTTAATTGCTCGAGAAATGCGTTGCGATGGTGATACAGCGTATCGACTCGGCGTGCGTCGGCGCGGCACGCGGCAATCTCGTGGTCCTTGTCGATCGGCGCGGCCTTGCCTGACGGCGACGATTGCATGATGAGCTGGGTCAATTGCTTCACCATGGCGTAGGGCGGTCTGTTCAAAACCACGTGAGCCTCTCCTCCATCGACCTCGCTCGTACATAGCTACAAACGACGCTGCGACCACGATCGCGCCGCACACGCGGTACTGCACATGCACCTCGATCGATTGACGTGTCGGCTGCGTCCACGTAAACGACCCGCTGAAGTGGACTCGATCGGTAGCAGCCATCACACCTTGTAGCTGGTTTAGCCCTCAACAGTTCGTGGCTGCGAGCAGTGCAGTGTACCAATCTCGACAGCGTACTCGTGCAGCGCGACCGCTGTGTCGAGACGAGTCTGCATCTCGGATGGACTTGAAGCACTTGGTGTGATGGCTGTGCCGGGAGGTTCGTTGTGCAGCTCCAGATGCACGTTGTCGTCGCCGGTCGACAGGATCTGCACTTGTACGCTCTACAGCCAAGCGCCATCAGTCGCGGGGGCGAGCGAGGAGCGATGCCGTACATGGCACACGGCATGCATCGCTTTGAACAAGATGTCGCTGAGTACCCATTCGATGTCGTCCTGAGCGTAGGCGTACTCCACGACGTTGTGTGCTATCGTGGCTGGATGTGGCGTCGCAGGACTGTCCAAGCTGCTCGAGGACCCTGTCAGGACGACGTGGCTCACTCGCGTGAAGTGCTGCACGAGTGCCCAGAGCTGCTGTAGCCGCGCCGTCGCCATCGTGGCCACCGATGCGTCGCTGTGCGTGGCGACAACAACGACTGCCGCCGTCCAAAACTCACTCGTGCTCGCGACGTTCTACCAGTGTCCCATAACAAAATCCCAACGAGTGCAACCATCTCCCATACGTGGCACTCGGATGCGACGAGGTCCAGGGCCATTTCAACGGCAGCAGCGCCGCTCCGATCGCTGGACGGTGGTCGAGTCGGCGTGGTGTCGAATGCCGCCTTGACTATCTTGGTCGCTTCCCGCTACAGAAAAGTTATGAGGATGCAGGCAGTGGCTCGAAGGGGAGTAGGGAACCCTGCCGAGACCATCCATGCGGCGCCACTTTAGAACGATGCCATGACGCGCGAGAATTGCCACGTCCGTGTGCGCTGGCAACTTTGCAACAAACTACACCCAACCTCTCAGGACGAGCGTGGATGGTGGTGGGAGATGGAGAACCTGTTGCAGCGCCAGCGCCGTGCGATCTCGATCGTGGGGGGTTAACGTCGCAGTGTCGACGTGTCCAGCCGTGTCGAGTACGACAACGACGTGCGTTTTCGTTGCACTGGGTGCCACGCAGTCGTGGCATGCGACGTCCACGGCAAAGCGCATGTGTCGACAGTGGGAAGAAGATTCGCCGATGATGGACACATCCTGGAGCGGCTGCTGGTGGAATTGGAGATGCAGCACGGGGTTCGTTGAATGGACGTGCAACGGATGCAGCAGCACCCAGCGAACGTCGTCAAACCCGACGAGGTGCAGGTCATGGCGCGACCCGCTCAAGTCGAGTTGGTACCGACGATGGCTCTGGTCGTTCAGGCGCCAATATGCTGCCAAGTTCACTACGTACGGGTGCGTGTGGTTTACTTCGCGCAGTTTCCATCTATTGCACCATCATCAAGGGCATGCCCGAAGCGGTGAAGTCGAATGGAACGTACGTCGCGAGCACGTCTTGCGGAATCCAGCCTCGCCAGACTCGAAACTCCGACACGACCAGGTGCACCCGTGCCTCCCGCATCCGATTCGGCTTGGACGTCCATCCGATACGAATGTGATTGTCCGCCGTGGTCGTCGGCTCGGCCAAGTCGATCGCTTCATTGACGCACAAGGGCCTCACTTGCTCGAGCCGTTCCAGGTCGATGAACTCGTCGTTGCAGCAGAGCGTCGGCGCGTCGTTCGCAGTTCGAAATGTCCCTGCCCAATGCTTGACCGTGTTCTCCATTGCACATGCACTCGCCGTGACGTACACTTGCGTACCAACGCGCATCACACCATAACCTTTGAAGATCCCAAAGGCGAACCGACGATGCACAACGACCCATACAGCGACTCGTGGCATCTGGGGCGGCTTCACCAAGCACTCCCACGTCATGCAATCATTTGTACACATCAGAACGGGAGTCGCTGTCTCGAGGTACGATCCGGCTGGCACGCAGAGTCCGTACGACGGCGGCGTCCGCGACGCTTCCATGATGAAGATCACGTTGCACGAATTCGACACGTTGGAATCCGGATAATTCAGAGTATCCGGACTAGTAGATCGTGCGGCGCCATTCCATTGTACTCGCCGCGGCATCGCAGCCGACATGGAGAAGCTACAGGAGTTGAGTCTGGTGTCGAAGGTGTGCTCGGAGCTGGAGAGCCACTTGGGTATGAGCGATCGCACGATTGCCGAGTTCATCATCAACATGGCCCGAGAATCCGCGGACGGCAAGAAGTTTCATGCTACGTTGAAAGAGCAAGACGCAGAAGTGCCCGAGAAATTTGCCCTCCATCTTTATCAGGTGATCCACACGATGTCAAAGAAACCGAAAGTCGCCAAGACGAGTGTCATGCCAGACAAGAACAACCCGTTTCCAGGCCTTGCGCGACCCAACACAAAGCCCATCAATGACGAAGAGATCGATATTGACGACATTCCAGGGCTGCACCCAGAAGACAAAGCACAAGCGCTTCCTCCTCCATCGTCCAGTCGTCCCCGCGACGACGACAGGAGAGATCGTCGGCGTGCCTCGCCACCTCGGCGCTCCCACTACTCGTCGTCGCGAAGGAGTCGCAGTCGGTCGCCGGATCGCAAGTATGGCGGCAGCAGCCGTCGTCGCTCTCGATCCCGATCTCCCCGTGGCAGTAGCTCAAACGGTCCGATCGAAATGCACGGCATATACCGGGGCCGCGTTGTCAAGATCATGGATTTCGGCGTATTCGTCGAGCTGGAACACCGCGACCGCCATGAAGGCCTCGTGCATGTGAAAAACTTGAGCGACAAGGTGCGTGTGTCGAACGTGCGTGACTTTGTCCGGCGCGGCGACCGCGTATGGGTCAAAGTTATCAGCCAGGCAGGGTCGAAGCTGTTGTTGTCGATGAAGGACGTGGACCAGACCACCGGTCGCGACTTGCTTCCACAGCGGAGCGGCGGCAGCGATGTCGCCCGCGACACCAAGGCTTGGGTGAATGCGTCTGCGCCCGGCATGCAACAGAGCGCGCAAGACGCGTACGAGAACGAGAAGCCGCGCGCGGCGAAGCGACTGTCGTCCCCCGAACGGTGGGAAATCCGCCAGTTGATCAACTCGGGCGTGCTCCCGATGTCCGAGTACCCGACCTTCGACGAGGAGCAGGGGGGAATGCTCGACATCGAAGAGACAGAGGAGGAGTTTGAGGTCGAATTGAACGAGGAAGAGCCGTTGTTTCTACGTGGCCAGACGAAAGCGAGCATGGAGGTGTCCCCGGTCAAGATTGTCAAGAACCCGGACGGGTCCCTGTCGCGCGCGGCCATGACGCAGTCGACGCTGGCGAAGGAGCGGCGCGAGATGCGTCAAACGCAGGCAAACCAGTTGCTCGATTCGATTCCGAAAGACTTGAACCGGCCATGGGAAGATCCGATGCCGGAAGCCGGGGAGCGCCATTTTGCCGCCGAGCTGCGCGGCATGCACATGGGCGGCGCGGCGTTCGACATGCCCGAATGGAAGGAAAAAACACAGGGGAAAGCGTCGCTCAGCTACGGCCACGTCTCGTCCAAGTCGATGATCGAGCAGCGCGAGTCGCTTCCCGTGTTTAAGCTCAAGCGCCAACTCATGGAAGCGATTCAAAACAACCAAGTGCTCGTTGTGATCGGGGAAACCGGGTCGGGCAAAACGACCCAGATGACGCAGTACATGGCCGAGATGGGGCTCACGGCCCACGGCATCATCGGGTGCACGCAGCCTCGGCGCGTCGCTGCATCGTCCGTCGCCAAGCGCGTCGCAGAAGAGTTTGGATGTGCGTTGGGGCAAGAAGTCGGGTATTCCGTCCGATTCGATGACGTGACGTCGCCCGACACGGTCATCAAGTACATGACGGAAGGGATGCTCATGCGCGAGTACTTGGCCGACAACCAATTGCGCCGGTACTCGGCCATCATCCTCGACGAAGCGCACGAGCGCGGGATTAACACGGACATCTTGTTTGGCTTGCTCAAGGCGCTCCTGAAAACGCGGCCGGAGCTCAAGATCGTCGTGACCAGTGCCACCCTGGACGCGGAGAAGTTTTCGCGTTACTTTTTGGACTGCCCGATCTTTACAATTCCTGGGCGAACGTTTCCCGTCGAGATTCTGTACACAAAGGAGCCGGAAGCCGACTACTTGGACGCTGCCCTCATCACCGTCATGCAGATTCATCTGAGCGAGCCGGAAGGCGACATCCTCGTGTTCCTGACGGGGCAGGAAGAAATTGACACAGCGTGCGAGGTCTTGTACCAGCGCATCAAGGCGCTTGGCGCCCTCGCCCCGGAACTCATTATTTTGCCCGTCTACGGGGCGCTGCCGTCGGAAATGCAGACGCGGATCTTTGAACCTGCGCCCAAGGGCAGTCGCAAGTGCGTCGTCGCGACCAACATTGCTGAAGCGTCGCTCACGATCGACGGCGTTTACTACGTTGTCGACCCCGGGTTTTGCAAAGAGAAAGCGTTCAATGCGAAGGTCGGGATGGACTCGCTCATCGTGGTACCGTGCTCGCAAGCGTCGGCGCGCCAACGCGCCGGCCGTGCCGGCCGCACGGGACCGGGCAAGTGCTACCGCCTGTACACAGAGAACGCGTACAAGAACGAAATGCTTCCGACTGCGGTGCCGGAGATTCAGAGGTCCAATTTGGGGATGGTCGTGCTCCAGCTCAAAGCGATGGGAATCAACGACCTGATGGGATTCGACTTTCTCGACCCGCCACCGGTGCCGGCCTTGGTCAGCGCCATGGAAAACTTGTACGCGCTCGGCGCGCTCGACGACGAAGGCCTGCTCACGCGCCTCGGCAAGAAGATGGCCGAGTTTCCCATGGACCCTCAAATGGGCAAAGTGCTCTTGACGAGCGTCGTCCTGGGCTGCGCAGAAGAGATCCTGACGATCTTGAGCATGCTGTCCGTCGAGAACATTTACTTTCGGCCGAAAGACAAGCAGGCGGCGGCCGATTCGAAGAAAGCCAAGTTTCACCAGCCTGAAGGCGACCAATTGACTCTCCTGGCCGTGTACGAAGCATGGAAGCACGCCAAGTTTAGCAACCCATGGTGCTACGAGAACTTTATCCAAGCGCGGGCCATCCGCCGCGCGCAGGACGTCCGGAAGCAGCTCCTGTCGATCCTCGATCGATTCAAGATGGAGGTGGTCAGCGCTGGGAAAAACTACAACAAGATTCGACGTGCTATTGTGTCGGGGTACTTTGCCAACACGGCAAAGAAGGATCCGCAGGAAGGGTATCGCACGATGGTCGAAGGCCAGCCCGTCTACATCCACCCGTCGTCCGCACTCTTCAACAAGAATCCCGAGTGGGTGGTGTACCAAGAGCTCGTGCTCACGACGAAAGAGTACATGAGGAACGTCATGGCGATCGAGCCCAAGTGGCTGGTCGAACTCGCGCCCGCGTTTTTCAAGAAGGGCGACCCGACCAAACTCACAAAGCAGAAGAAAGCGCAAAAGATCGAGCCTCTCCACGACCGATTCAACCCCCCCGACTCGTGGCGCCTCAGCAAGCGGCGTGGGTAAGCGCGGTGCACGCCCGTGGTGGCAGCTACTGTAAACTCGACACGGACGACCGTCGATTTCCCAGTTTTTTAATCACGTGTCCGGCTCTGACACATCGCTGGTGGGCATGATGGCGCCGCGAGAATCGGTGAAGTGGGTTCAACGAGGTCAGCGTCTTCTGGAACGAGCCATCGAGGTGGACGAGGCGGACGCAGCGAAGTCGTGCGGCAGGTGCTGGAAAGCGTGTCGTCGACAAGCCTCGTCGATGGAAAATTGTCCGACGACGATGGCGCTGCGACCTCGAGCAGAAAACGACGGCAGCATCGAGTTTGAGCAGTTAAGTCGGAAGGGATTTGGAGGGCGGGAAGAGAACGCTCGGTGCGTCGGATGGCATTGTGTGAGAGGCGTCGGTCGGCGGTGTCACGGGTGGGTCTGGCGCTGCGTTGCGTCGCGCCGCGTCGCTCTCACGCTCTTCTTGTTCGGACGGCGACAAGATGTCGCGGCCGATCGATCGTCGCGCGGACGCGCCGACGGCAACGACGACCATTGCTTTGCACGCGCGCTGGCGCTGTTTGTTGGCGACCTTGTAGATGGGAGGGAAGGACTTTTTGTACTTGGACGGGGGATTGATGAGCTTGACGAGTTCGCCGGCAAACCCTTCGATGGATCGGCGGCGATAGGATTGCCGCGAATTGAGGCGCGCTAATGGACGCCGTCAGCACCTTGGACGAGATGGATGGATCGTCCGTACCGACATGAGCGAAGAGCAGCGCCTTGTTCTCCTGGGTCGAGAACACTTGGTGCTGGTGGGCGTACACTTTGTAGTACACCGAGCAGAGTGCAAGCATCGCGGCAGCAAAGATCGTCCCGCGCCAGTCTTGTAAACCGACAAGCGCCGCGATGCTGACCAGCCACACTGCGCTCGCCACGACAGCGCCGGCGACGCCGAACGGGCTCTTGAAAGGCCGGGCCATGCCTCGGTGCTCGCGGCGGAGGTAGATGTACCCAATGCACTGCGACAGGTACGCGATGAAGGCAAAGAGCATGGCCGCGTGGAAAAGCACGGCGTCCACGTCTGCGTAAAGCTGCACGAAACACAGCGCAAAGCTGAGCACCGTGCCAGACAAAATCGCCACGATCGGCGCGCCCGTCGACTCCAAACTGACGAGAAACACTTCCGGGAGGAGCCGCGAGCTCCCGAGCGCCACAATGATGTTCGTGTAAGCTTGGACGAACCCTTGCCCAGACGCAAACGTGGCCGGGACCGACAGCAGCGTCGCCAGCGGCATCGAACATCCAAACAGGCGAGCGTAGCCAAAGTTGAACGGGGCGACGGCTGCCGCGATTGCTGGCAGGCCGGGAGGCAGGACGTGCACACTGACAAACACCCCCAGCGCGGTAAAAAACAGCGTCAACATGCACCAGAGCTGGCTCCGGGGGATCGTAATGTTGGGGGACTCGACTTCGTTGCACAAACGATTGAGGGTCTCGATGCCAACAAAAAACCACGCGGCTTGGGGCAGCGTTTGGAGGAACGTGTGGATGTCGAATGGCACGTTTGGGGTCGCGGGGTCGTTGGATGTAGTCGGCGCGGGCTGCATGGCCATTGGGATCGCGCCAACGACGTAGACGAGCAGCAGTCCGAGTGATGCAAACGCCAGGATTCGATTCCAGCACGTGAAGGGCGTGCTGCCGCAGCACAGCGCGCCAACGGCGACGCCGTAGCTCATGATCCATGTGGCGTACGGGTACGCGGCCAAGGCTGGCCACGCCAGCGCCATGAATCGACTGAGCTGGACAAAGTTCCACGTGACGTAAAGAATGTACTGAAGCGACTCGCAGCACCCGACGAGGAAGCCAGCGTGGAAACCAAACGTCCATCGTGCGAGGCCGAACGCGCCGCCTGTGAACGGTACCATGCTCGTGACTTCAGCAAGACAGCAGCACAGACATATATATGCAAGGCCCATACACAACACCGCAAGGCCAAAGCTCCACGGCCCTGCCACAAGTCCCGCGTTCCAGCCGAAGAAGTGGCCTCCAATGCCCACCGTCATCCCGGTGGACCACACGTCGATGTACGAGTCGAAGAGCGACACGTGGACGGGCTTTCTCGGGGCCGTGTACCGCCGCCGGCTCAACATGGTCATCGACACACGTTCCCGCATCCTCCTCGATCAATTGAATGTTGGGACGTGTGACGAATGCCGACGACCGACGTTGTATAAATAGGATTGAAACCCTTGCACGTAATGCAAACTCTCCCGAAGCATCGTGGCAGTCTGCATGGAATGTTCTCAACATTCCGTCGCCCAAAGTAGGCGACTCCATCGGCCGAGGCGATGGGTGGTGGCCTGAGCGGCCGCGATCACCATGAAGAATCGCTCGGCATCCCGCCGAGCTTGAATTTCAATCAAATGTGTGGGGCGAAATCCGGATAAAAATGACTGTACCGGATAATCGCCTTGAGCGAACGACGACATCGCGATGAAATCGGTCCGCGAGGCGGCAAGCGTAGTTGTGTTCAACGAGTTGGAGGAGATCTTGTTCGTGAAGCGACCCAAGACCGCTAAAGCATGGGCGAACATGATGGTGTTTCCTGGTGGCAAGGTAGGTTTGTGTCCCTGCGCGCTGTATGACGACACGTTGAGCACAAGGTGGACGCCGCCGACAACGATGCACCGACCGCATCGCCATACCCGCATGTACCCTCACGGTACGGCGATTCCCCCGCCCGTAGCTCCAATATAGTTCATGCGATGCCGCTCTATAGGTTCTTCAATGCCGCAATCCGCGAACTCTTTGAAGAAGTCGATGTCTCATTGACAGCCCCACGGCTGTGGACGGCCCTAACACAAGCAGACCGACGACAGTGGCGCCATCGGATTGTCGACGACAAGGACGACTTTGGTTCGCTACTACGTCGGGCGAAATGTGCCGCACAAGTCGACGAACTTTTGCCGTTCAGCCACGTCATTACTCCAGAAGGATCACCCCACCGGTTTGACACGTGGTTCTTCCTCGCTCGCATCACCGGTGCAGACGTGCCACACGTACGGCCCCATCTCCCGCAATTTGCACTCTTGAGCGCGGTCAACTACGCAGGTGGAGACGCACAATTCCGAGCTTGACGGCGAGTGTCTGTGGCTGACGGCGCAGGACGCCCTGGCTGGTTATTCCAAAGGATTGTTTGCATTTGCCACGCCTCAGCTGTATCTCCTCCATCAGTTCCGTCAATTTGAATCGACCAACAAACTCTGGGCCACCGCCAAGGCCGATGCCGCCACAGGCAACATCCCGACTGTCCTGCCCCAGCGCCTCCCACCGTCGGTACGATAAGTGTGCATGACGAATTCCCCTGAATTTTGTGCCCAGGACGACTTCCCTGGAACGTTCACCGTTTTTCCCGGCGATCCGCTGTACCGCCACAGAGCGCTATATCCGATTCCCCATCGCATGCACCTCGATCTCTCCGACCCTTCGAAGAGCACGTTCGAGATTCCCCGTAGACCCAACAATGTCGTCGTGAATTAGGTCACGGCCCCGTCATGATTCCTTGGTGAAAATGCTTGAACGGTCGAGTTGAGAGCAGCAAATTCCCCCGGATGTAGGCTGAGGTACAGCATGCATGAGCTACAGTGCCTCTTGTATGCGTGCCATCGCTGCAACCAGCTGCTTGACCGCAGCCGCCTGAGCACTCAATTCGCCGATGGGTGGACACCGTCAGCAACGTCGTTTCCTTGGACGAAGTCTGGCATGTCGTAGGAAGGCAGCTCTTTTGTGCAGATAGCTAACTCATCCGTGACGACCAGTGCTGACCGACTGCTTGCGCATGTGACGTTCGATGAGGACAACACAACTTGCTCTCAATCCTTTACAAGTGGTAGCCCTCTGTCCGTCGGTTTTCTTTGCGATTGTCGGTGGAGACCTCATGGGGATGCTCACAGATCGACGACGCTCTCGAGGACCGGGTCTCCGTCAAAGTGAATCGATTACTGGAGGTAACTGCAGGCGGTTTTGAAACGCTCAAATTCGTATCGGTTACACTCCCCGAACGGACCAAATCGACCATGACCGACGTGCCTACCGACGTCGGCAACAAGGACGACGAGGTCCAGCCCCCCTGTGGCATCACCGAGCATCGTGCGGAAGCCTCACGACCTCGGCGAGTTCACTTCTCCACCACGTCGGTCGCTGTGACTTGTCTCTTCGTGGTAAACTTGGTTGCGATGCCCCTGAAACCCTACCTGACGGAACCGTTGCCTATCTCCGACACTGCCATGTACCGCGCTCCAGTCGTGTTTCCATCCGTCAGTCCATCGCTGCTGCCCGAGCCAGCCGTGGCGACGATCCATCCGTTCAAGCAGCTATACAACAACACCACGTTGCCGCATGGCGCTGCGTACTACCACGATCCCGTCCACGTGGTCGAAGTCATGCGAACGTCCGTGTCGTCGTCGGCGTGCGCCGACCCTGTCCAGTTGATTACGTCCATCTTGGGGGTGCCATACTTTCCGCCAGACGTGAAACGAGCAATTGTGGATTCCGTGTGCGGGCGGCGCGACGCGAGTATCGACGTTGGTCGTGTGTGGCGCATCTACTTTGGCTCGAAGCAGGACAGTCTGTCGGCGGCGTGGGTCGTGGCCGACACGATGTCCGCCACAAACGACAAGTTTGCCACAGTGTATTTCACGTTCACGCCGTATATTTGGTCTCCGACGTGGATCGTCGCCAAGTTCGTCTATCGCTTCGTCATGTCGATGGCTATCCTGGCCTTCATCGTGTACAAGTACTACGTGCCGCTGCGGCACCTGCGACGGAATCTCGAAGCGCTGCCGCTGCACGTGTCGTCGACGGCCGTGCGGTACGAAATCGTTGTCGGCGAACCGACGTGCTTGGTGCTGTCGAACGTGTGGGTGTGTTTGGCGTTTGTCGTCGACTTCTTCGCAAGCACCGAGTTCTTTGGCGCGGCGTGTCTTCGCATGGGCCAGACCGCCGACATGGCGCTGTTCCTCCTTGGCGTGTTGTACCTTGGACGGACCGTCTGGTGCGCGTACATGAGCCTCGTTCTGCTAAACATTGTCCTGAAGCGGGTGCGCCGAGCCGCATGGGCCGTGCCTGCCAACTCGACGACGCTGGCGATCGCCGTGACCGTCGGAGGCGGGCTCCTCACCACCATTCAAGTTAAATTGCCTCCTCTCATGGCGTTCTACACGTGGCTGCTCACGTTTGTGACGACGACTGACGCGAGAGGAAACGTCTCAACACTGGATGACACGGCCGCCATGATGGTGTACGTCTTCGGCATGATCGGAACGTGCTTTGGCATCGTGCTGGGGAAGAAGTACGCAGGTCTGTGGCTCACCAAACGACGAAAACAGTTGAGGAATCGGATCCGGTCAATACAAGTGGGCGCCACGTACACTTTGAATGAAAACATGCCTCGAGCCGCCGACATCCTGCAGGTGCAACCCAGTCATGTCTCCCCATTGACGTGCCAAACTAACCCGGACGCCATGTGTAGCCCCCGCAGCGATCAGTGGAAAGCTGTATGGCGTACAATGACTTGAAGCATCGAATTGTGTTGTGGTTGTGCCGTATGGGGTCGCCCGACGATGGTATGATCAACATGTTGACCTGCGCGGTCGGTGGTTGAACGACATGTGCAGGTGTATGCACGGGGGGCAGCGTCTACTGCCTCTTCAAGCTGTTTCCCATGGTGCAAGCTCAATGCACGATTAGTCAGACGGGAAGCGACTGCTACGTGTTCGCTTACAACAGCGCGGACGAAGCCGTTGAAGTCACGCGGGTGAGTTTGATCGACCAAATTGATTTGGTCCAAACGACGACGGAGAGACCTGTGCATGAGATCGTGGGATCTGTCAGTACTGCGACAGCAGTCGGTTCATTGGTACTCGGAAGGGAGAAGGAAGGCGCCGCGGACGTCGCGTTGCACCGTGGGGCCAGGGGCTCGCCGTGGGTCGCGTGAATATCGCTTCAGATTCGATCTAAACTCTGGCGTTCAATTGGATACTGTACATCGCAATACGTCCATGTGATTCGCTAAGATAATCTATTTCATCCAATCAAATGCCTTAAATGTGCAAATTATCGGAGAGCTTACTTTATTGAAGGTGTCGAGTTCGCTAAAGTTCCTCTCTTGTGGTTGGCTGTGTGGGAGCTGGTTGAATGGTCTTCTGCATGTTCAATCTGGATTTGCCACGCCGCCACGATGGGATCGCAGAAGAAGAAAGCGATCAAGTTCATCAAGAAGGGCAACCTGAAGCACAAGATTGCGAAGCGCAATGAGAAGAAGCGCTTCAATGCAAAGAAGGACAAGAAGGCTGGTGAAAAGCCGGCCAAGAAAGCGGTCACTGCCACCGCGCCGGCGCGCAACGGCGACGACGACACCGACATGCTTGACGACATGGACGTCGACGATTTCCTGAACGGCGACTTTTTGGACGAAGACGATGACGACAACGAACAAAACGATGGGGCGAACGATGACGCCGCCGATAGCGACCACGACGACGCTGACGACGGCGAGTCCTCGGAAGAAGAAGACGAATCCGCTCTGGATCCTCGATACATGTCTGTGATGCCGGAAGACGACAAGTCCGACGATGATGAGAACGGAGGTGCTCCGGAAGAAGGCGGCGCTTCCCGCCGAGAACTCACCATGGAAAAGCTGACGTCGATCGAGAAAGCATGCGCCGCGTCCAAGTCGATCGCGTCGCTACGCCCTCTCCTTCAGATCTTTTCGGATGCGTGCCGCAGTGCTGACGCAGGCATCAAAGCTGGCGTGAAGAAGACTCCGTACGACATTCGATCCAGCGCCGTCTACAACCGGCTGATGGTGGCCGTGTTCACACACACGCAGGCGGCGCTTCGCGCGTACTTCAACCTCCCCGCGGACGACAAGGACACGACCGTGTCGCTGGACACGAAGAAGTGGACCAAGATCAGCATGACCGTTCGCAGGTTCTTCCACTGCTGTGTGTACTTGATCCAGGAGACAACATCCGAGGACATTCACCGCTTTGTGCTGCGCAGCTTGAATGCGTTCCTCCGGTACGCTGCGCCGTGCCTCAAGACGTCCCGCAAGCTGCTCAAGTGCTTTGTGTCCGTGTGGGGCAAGTCCCTCGACACGACCGTGTGCATGCTCGCGTTCGTCCGGATCCGCGAACTCGCGACGCTCGTTCCGTTCCCGTTCCTCGAAACGTGCTTGAAAGCGCTGTACTTGGCCTACATGCGCAACGTCAAGTTCACGAACGGCGTCAACTTCCAGCACCACATCGTGATGGGCAACTGCATGGTGGAGCTCTACGGCCTCGACCTTGTGTCGTCGTATCAGCACGTGTTTATCTATATTCGCCAGCTCGCCATGACGATCCGAAAGGCGATCGCGGCGCCGTCCGCCGACGTCCTCAAAGGCATCTTGACGTGGCGCTTTGTGAACTGCCTTAAGGTGTGGGCCGCGGTCGTGTCGGCGTACCCTGGGCTCAAAGCGTTGGTGTACCCGCTCACCCAACTCACACTCGCGACCATTCGTTTGGCCAGCATTGCCAGGTACGTAGACTGCGGCGGAGGCGGCCTCTGATTGTCGCCGTGTGTGTGGACTGTAGATACGTCCCGTTGAAGTTTCAATGCGTCAAGATCTTGCAACAAATCGCGCTGGGAACGCACACGTTCATTCCCACGACCCCCATCCTCCTTGACATCCTCCAGTCGCCGCTCGTGACGCAGAAGAAGAAGAACTCGGTCAAGGAAACGGACATTGTCGAGCTCGACTTGCTCGTGAAGCTGTCCAAGTCGGCGCTCGAGTCGCGCCGCGTCCAAGAGATGGTCGTGTCCAAGGTGTTTGACCTTCTCCAAAAGGAATGCGACGTCCAAAAGTACTCGATCGCGTTTCCCGAGTTTGGCGTCCCGCTCCATTTGGCGTTGAGCAAGTTTGCGACGACGACACCCGTGCCGCAGTGGAAGCGCCTGGCCAAGGGCCTGTGCCAGCAAATTGAGACCCGCAGCGAATGGATCCGCAATAAGCGCATGACGTCCGACATTGCCCCCAAAGACATGGCACAAATTGAAGCGTTCTTGGCGGCAGAACGCAAGGCCGCCATCGCTCAGATGCTTGAAAAGGAAAAGAAACAGCTTGCAGACAAGGCCTCGCAGTATGCTCAGTCATCTCCTGCGTCCAACGCAGGCGCTGTCGACCAAGATGACGACGAGGACGAGGACAGCGAGAGTGAAGACGAAGTGGCGCGAGAGCCGCCGACTGGAAGTGTCGACGACCCTGATCACGTCGAAGACATGGTGTGGTCGGACGATGAATAGAGAACGAATGAATGAATTATCGCTAAGGAGATTATGTACCATCGAGAAGGACGAGCGTGCCGCCGCACCAACGTCTGCCAAGCTGCCGCCGCTGCGTTTCATGGTCCAGATTCTCATTCTCAAGGCTTTGAAAGATGTCCTTAAAGTAAGGGAAAACGTCGAATGTGTTAAAATATATTTTGAAATTAGTATGTATCTGACGGAAAAGGCTAAACGTGGCAGGAATGTCGGTAATAACGAAGGAGAAAAGGGAGCCAGTCGCTTGGTCGTACGTATCCGGATACAATTCAATGTTTGAAGAAATACACAACAATTACGTTGCATTGTGAATTAAAATCCATAAATACGTCGGGAGGCTAGCCACGATTGCCTGAATTCCGCATATTGGAGTTCCTCGAATCTGCGTCGAACGAAAAGCGCATTCTGTGAAAACGGCGGAAAAATTCCCCTCGCAACCGATCAAATCTCACGCACAGATGGCACCCGGCGGCGACACCGTGGATCAGTCCAAGATACACAATGAACGGGTGAGATGAGCGGCCGCGGAGCCTCTTCTGTCGACTTCCTTCATCGTGACGTCCTCGTAGCTGCGCCTCAAGATCCAACCGCAACCTCCCAAGTTCCCCTTCCAGTCCCATCCGTTCGAGATCACGGTTTACCTCGTCGACGAGTCGGACAACCTGAAGACAGGGTACGGCTGCATACTTGTTTTCTCGGGATCTCATCGTGCCTCTCTTAGCATCGTGATGGGGCTTCAAGTGGATCTCCTCGTGGGGGACAAACCGACTTCGAGCTCCAAACCGCTCGTCACGATCGATCCATCGACGAAACCCATCATCAACGGCGATGGCATGTGCTGCTTGAAACTCGCGATCGAGGAGACGTCGATGACTCACGGAAACAAGAAGTTCCAGTTCCTTTTAACCCCGATCGGGAACGACTACGAGGTCGCCCCAGTCATGTCGACCGACATGACGTGCATCCGTCATCGCCTTGTGATCCAAGAAGAACTCCCTGAACTTTGGTACAAGGATGAAGGCGGTCGCGACAAATGCATGCCGTTGCCCGTGCTCCTCGTCGACGCAACGAACCAACCAGTCGGGCACCGCGCCGTGCCTCTTCGCGTGACGCTCCTGTACGAAAACGAGCATGCCGTGTTAAAACAAGACATTCTCAAGCTATCTCCGGACTCGCAGCGCGTGATCGACAACAACGGGATGGCACTGCTCAAGCTCCGTATCGAAGACGTCAGCAAGAATCACCAAGGCCAGGCGTTTCGGCTCAAGGTCGAGCCGGACACGGCGCAATCTCCACTGCACTTCGACGTCGCGCCGGACTGGAGTACGCCGATTTCAGTCCGATCCAAACGAAACAAGCGACGCAATGGCGGTGGGACGTCGTCGACTTCGCATCATCCTTTGATCGATCCGTTGGAGTCGCCGCGAGGTGGCGAACACGGCCACCACCCCGGCACGACGGCGTTCGACATGGACTCGCGTCCATCCAAGCGCAGTGCGAACGGAATGATGCCATCTTCGTCGCCGACGTCCCATGGAGGCGCGCCGTCGACATTGCATCCGTCCATGGAAAGTATCCTCCGATGGACAACATCCGTGATCCACGGGTTCCAGCAACTCGAGTGGCAGCCGATTGGGTACGAAATGCGGCTGGACGGGAGCCAGGACAAGGACCGTCCCATCTTCCGGTGCCCAGCATGTTGGCGGTACAAGGACACGATGACAATGGACTCGCAGCAACATGAAAGCAAGTGCCTCATCGCGAACGTCCTCCTCACATATGCGTCGGACACGGTCGGCCACTTGGACGCGCTGCTCAAGTTGACCGAAAAATTCGCGTCGCCGCCACAGCAGTCCAACTCTGCCCAGGCTGTGCCACCGTCGACACAGTCCTCGTCGATGGGACCACCGCCATTGACACGTGGCATCACCGACATGGTGAACAGCTTGGACGTGCCACCGTCGCTCTTCCGTGGCTCATCTGGCGGTCTCTCAGAGTTCATGATGGGCGATTCCCACGCAAGTGTGGGAGGGTACACGACGTCACCAGAGATCACACAAGCCATTGAACGGCAGGTTTTCTGTGTGTTGGCGCGCACATACGTCGTCGAGTCGTCCAACCGCCCGGTTGGATTGCCTGCCTTTGATCGTGCGCTCAACCTGCTGGGGTTCTATGAGGAAGCGCTGAACGGTGTGACCCAGATTAACTTTGTCCCGATGAACGACGTCCCAGGCCTGACATCCCCAGACGTGAACCAGTGCCGACAAAACGTGTTTGGCGAGATGAAGGACCCCAACACCAAGATCCTTTTCCAGGTCGACCGGTTCAACAGCCTCGCCGAGATGAAGGAGAAAGTCTTCTTCTACGTGTGGGAGAACAAGGCCCAACCCCAGCAGCAGCATCCACAACAACAGTCCAATCATCAGTCTTCGCGGGGTCATTGGGCGGTCTAACGCATCGATCTAGTGGAATCCGTACCCCTGCCGCCGCGGGTCGCGTCGATCCAGTGCGCCACATCGCGTGGCGGCCGACATCGAATTACGTGTGTGTTGCATCGACCAATCAGGTCGTGGGAAGGTCGACACCATATTTTTATACAAGTATATCAACTTCCTTACAAATGCCAAGTATATATTTTATTTCTTGTCACAGTTAGAGCACTGCGGATTTGAAGCAGCATTGGACGAAGCCCTCCGAAGCCCGCAAATGATTCGCCGTGCACTGTCCACCGGAGCAGCAGTGGCAGCACCGGCCGCCCGATCACGCCTTCGACGGGAGATTCCAGCAGCAATCAAACTTGTACGTATGAGGAATAGTCGAACAAAGATGGCGTGACCTTCAATGTGGATAAATAGACAGACGAAGCCGCCGCGCGCATCAAAGAGTTGATGGCGAATCAACCAGACGCGATTGGCATTCGGCTCGGTGTTCGGACGCGTACGTGTAAAGCCTAGGTGGATTCACGTTGTTGTTGCGCTTGTCCCATCACGTGTGTGTGGTGCTGTTGATGTAGGAGGATGCAGTGGCTTGTCGTACACGATGAACTACGCAACAGAGAAGCAAAAGCTGGACGAAGAAGTGTCTGACAAGGGTACGAAGCACATTGCAATGCTATTTTATGAGCACGATGTATGCTAATTCGACGGGCGGTCACAGGCGTGAAGGTGTTCATTGAGTCGAAAGCGCTATTCCACGTCGTCGGCACTACAATGGACTACAAAGTACTCCAGGCCGCAGCCTTACCGTCACCTCAAGCCATCATGTTCTCACTCGTGAAATTCGTAGATTACGCCCGTGTCGGCCGAGTTTACGTTTGAAAACCCCAACGCCAAAGGCACTTGCGGATGCGGCGAGAGCTTCAACGTGTAAACCTCGATTTATGATAGAAGAAACTAGATTACAATTTCGCCTTGGGTTTGACCGAAACTTTGGCCACGATGACCGTGACGTCGTCGGGTTTGAGGTTGTGCGAGAGGGAAGCTTCGACAACAGCATCGGCGGCTTCTTTCGTGGAATTGCACGAGCTTACGACGCTCACGAGGGAGTCGATGCGGCCGTGCCAGTATCGCCGCCAAGAAATAACAGGCTACGCATTGGGATGAGAGGAGTTGATGTTGCCTTTCGAAAATGTACCGGAAAGAAAGGAGGAATCTCTTGCAAGTCTTGGGCAAAGTTATCCCAAACGCCATCGGTCGCAAGCACGATGATGTCGCCGTCCTCCAGTGCAACGGTGCCATTGTTCGCCTACCAATTCGCGCAATGAGGCGAGAATGAGTCACAGATGGAGAAATCTGTACCTCGCTCGGTTGGCTTTCCATCGCACCATAGCACTTGAATCGCTCGGGGATCTTGGCCAACTGGAATGGCGCCAACCCCATGCTTTGAAATGAACTGCGAAAGACAACCTTGTCGCCACGAACAATGGCAAACCCCGAGTCGCCTAAATTCGTGTAGTCGAGCATTGGTTCACCATCCTTCCCTGCACGAATCTTGATGATACACGCCGTAGTGCTTCCTGCTTCCACCGCATCGTCTTTCAAAGTCAACGCATACGCTTCAGTGAGGATATCGAGGGTTGACAACATGGCGGGGTCGCCTTCGTATCCTTGCACAAGCTGTCGCGAGTACCGCATCATAGCGCGACTAATTGCAGACGGATCGACGCCATTCTCATTCCATCCACCCACACCATCTGCAACACCAACAATGGTAGGAGAGACAAAAAACGAATCCTCGCCGCAACCTTCCGGGCGTGCAAATGCGTCCATCGTACATCGCTTTCCCTTGCACGACGCATGTGCATCAAAGATGAACGCATCGAATTCTCGACGCGCAGACGCAGATGGTGAAGACCTGGCGGCCCCTCGCGACGCGCTAAAGTGGCGACGCGGTGCAGCCTTCGTCAAAGAAGCTGTCGCCCGGGGTCCAAGGTGTCGCGCCAGCATCTTCGAGTGCCTTGCTCCAGCGATGTGGAAATGTGTGAAATCAAGTTGATATGATTTGTATGGTGGAGTTTTGCGCGCGAAATTAAATTCCAAATATTCTATTCCACTTCAATTTTACTTGTTTATGGTGTGAATTTATATAATATGACGTGGCAGATCAACAATGTTGAGTTTTTTTGATGTTAAGGATTGTCGTCATAACAGAATTCGCACGGTCTGCTGGATGACGGAGGCGGCGACGTTCGTGCGCTGACGCAATTCAGTCCGAATGGGGATACACATGAACTTGTCCATAGGTGGGGTCGTTTTGTCCACTTGGTACATGACGCGGGTGAGCACGGCGTCCCACACAGCAGAAATGCCACGGTCCCTGTCCAATCGAGCGAGTTCTTGCTGAAGCATCGACGGAGGGCCAATCGCAGCGTCCCTGTCTTCCCGTGCGCAATGCCGTACCTCGCGCATCTGTCGAAGTTTGGCGCGTGCAAATACTACTCGGCCAGCCCCTTGGACAATTGATCCAGCGGCACGTTCGACACTGGATCGCAGCCCGAAAAGCTCAAAGATAAGAGTGCCACGATCACTCAGCTCTAGCTCCTTGAAATCTTGTGGGCGAAGCGTTGGTTGAGCTTGTGCAAGATGGATGACCGTGTACAAGCCCATATCGATGAGGGTTTTACTGTACTTTGCGACTTGGCAACGCCCTTGGTTGATAGATTTGATCCACGTGAATAGCGGCATGTCAAGCCATTTCGACAAGGACGTGTGTCGACATCGCGGTTGGTTTTGGCCGCGAAGGGTACGACCATGAAGCGCATTGTACCACGGCCCCACGTTCCTCATGGCGTCGATCGTCTTGGTGGTTTCAGGATTGGGTTGCAAGATCGGACACAGAATTTCTCTGGATCATGTGAGCACCTTCCATTTCAAATTTCAATCTTACCCAGATGGAAAGAGCGCTTGAATGTGCTGCCGCTCAATGGATGTCATGGCTTTTCCAGTCACCAACAAGACTATCGCTTCCAGCCCGTCCATCGTAACGATCGCTTCCGTCTTGGAAACGCTGTATTCTTGGAAAATCTGTTGCCGTTTGCGATCAGCCGCAGTGAGCGAGAATAAGAAGGTACCTCGGGCACTAGGAGTCGCTTCAACGAAGCCATCACGTACAAGCGATGGAGCAGCTCCCCCACAACCCCATGCCACCCACGACTCAACGGAACGGTCACTGGAACGGCGCACTGCTGGCTCATGTCCTTCGCAAACGCAGCCGCGGCATGCTCCATGGCGACCAAGGCGAAATCCACATGTGGCGATGATGTTTCAGTGTGGTGCCTGACGACAGCCATCACCCCCGAGAGTTGGTTGGCAAATTCTTGCGATGCCTTTTTCTTCTCCAACGTTTCG